CAACTGGTGAGCCTTTTCAGAATTTCTTAAAACCAGTTGGTTGCATTTAGGGTTTTGACGTGGGTTTACTTTGTGAAGGGCTTTAAGGGTATAGCAGCCTTCAAAATTTTGTTTGTGGTGAGCGGCATGATCATAGATTGGTTTTCTTTTGCCTTCATGTACCACATCAAAACGATGGCCTGTCATTCGAACTCTTAAAGAGTTTGAAGTCTGGCCAATGTAATCTTTTGGACAATGTTTACACGATATAGTTGATAAATCACATTGTATATATATATATACTCGACTAATTCAGTTTTCTGCATCCAATATTAACCAAGAAATAATTGTAAATGCAAACTTAACTACAATTCATTCACAACAGTCAATAAATTATTTGGGAATAGAAATCGATTCACAACTAAATTGGCAAAAACACATTAAAAACCTTATCAAAAAGACTACGCTCAGCAACATTTGTTCTCACAATAATTCGGGATACTACTAATCTAGAAACACAAATAGCAGTGTCGACTTATGAGCCTCCTACCTTACCTCTGAGCTACTTGTGACTGTTGTTAGCATTGGTTTTCAAATGGCGAAAGAGTGGCCCTCAGTTGCAATGGTTGCAATACTTGAAATATTTTTGATACTACAGTATAATATGATTCTGTTAATCTGTTTTGGCATCAAGTAGTTGAGTTGAATAGTACTGTAGTGAATAGTGAGTAGTCTCCGCGAATACAAATACAGTAAACTACAAAAATTAATTTAAATACTATGACAAATATTATGTTATTTATGGCATATGTAAATCAAATAATTATTTTTAGAACGTCATATACAACCGTAATTAGTTTCTTAAAAGGTTGCCAGTCACTAGCACCCTTTTCTAGCCAATCATTCGAGATTTCTATGATCACATTCATTGTCACATATTGCAATTAAAAAAATAAAACCCATCAACACTTTTTTTCGTTTGACCCAAATGTAGCTGTCGAACATGTATACTGCCTCTTAACTAGGCTATATGCTATTTTTTTCTTTACGTGTATGATAGAGTGACACCATTCAGAGTACGTATTAATATTAACTTAATTTTAACGCATTCACAATAGCAAATTACAAAAAATGCATTTATAAATTGATAGACACTATAAAAAACAAAAAGATGCAAATTATTTATTTGCTAATTATAAAAGATTATAGGCTATATATTCTACAAATATAATATTTTATTAATAAAAATATCTGACGTGTTTCAAAATATATTTATAAATAATTTAAATATAAAATATAGTTTCAAAAATATTTTGTATATATATTTAAAATATTCTCAACACATAATTTTTTTTAAATATTTAATAGGAAAAATATACATATAAAATATGTATATTATAGATTCTATACTTGTTTTATCAATATATTTTATGAATCTATTTTATATATTCAAAACTTATATTTAATTTATATTTTGCATTGCTTTTTGGTAATATTTTAAATATATATTTGAATATATCAAACTATTATTAAAGATATATTTTATATATATTTTGTTCGAGGTCCTATCAAATACAACTTTAAATATATAAAATATTTATAAAATACATATTTGTGCTACTAGGGAGTTACCTTTCCTGTGCTGTTTTTTGTGATGGTTAAATCGAGGAAACAGTAAAGATTTCATTCAGAAGATTCAATCACAAAATATTCCTGAGAGATATACATTGGCTTCCATTGATGTAAATAATATGTACGGAAACATTCCACGCAATGAAGCAATAGAAGTTCTGAAAAATAGACTAAAATCATCTAACAATTTTTTAGAAAATGAAATTGATGACATAATCAAAATAACTACCATAATAACTAAACAGAGCTACTTTTCATATAGGGGAAGTATCTACTATGACCCCAAAGGCCTTCCCATGGGTGGACCTTTTATCTGCCACTTTAGCTGAATTATATATGCAGGAATTTGAGGAACAACACATCCTTTCTGATTCAAACCCATTCTTTAACAAAATAACCTTCTACTCAAGATATGTAGACGACGCATTCCTTGCAATGAACTGCAATAAACGACAATCTAGTCTCTTTCTAAACCACATTAACAAAATTCACAACAACATCACATTCAAAATGGAAACAGAAGAAAACCACCGTATAAATATCCTCGATTTAACCATCACAAAAAACAGCACAGGAAAGGTAACTATTGGAATATATAGGAAACCCACCCAAACGGACCTCATAATACCTGCCGACTCCAACCATCCATACAATCAAAAAATGGCTGCCTTCCGTTCATTAGTCTATAGGCTATTAAACTACAACCTCAACGACCTGGAATATGCAAAAGAAATTAATATAATAAAAACAATAGCAAAAAACAATGGATACAACCCCACCATAATTGACCCCATTATATATAAACAAAATGAAAAGGAAAATAAAACACGGGCCTAAAAACGAGACTACAGCCCAAAACCCCGAACCAAACCCAAAATATATATCAATCAAATACACTGGCAAAATATCAGAGAAAATTGGCAAAGCTTTCAAGAAATCTGGCTACACACCTGCATACCAAGTCAAAAACAGCCCTATACCACTATATACAACATAGAAGCAAGTACAAAAGCCCGACCAATAGAAAAAGACAGAGGAGTGTACAAAATAGCCTGCAATCCACCATGTAACAAACAATATATTGGCTACACGAATAGATCATTTTTTCCAACGCTTCAAAGAACACAACACTAGTCACTACAAAAATCCCACCTCAATAGTAGCAAAACACCTCAAACAAAACCATACTCATTCAATAACATTCCCCGATTCCCTTACTATCCTGAACAGAACCCAGTCAAAAACCACAGCCAAAATACAGGAAAGCTACCAAATCTATAAACAAGTTACCGAATCTGGACCCGACAGCCTACTTAACGTAAAAGAAGACTTCAATAACTCCATCATTTTTAAGACCATGTACGAAATAGAAACCAACCGATTTGGCAACCCCGCAGAAATTAGACAACGTCGCAGATACAACAATTCTGGGAAATTCACACCCCAACCCGTCCATCCACCAGACACTGTTTCTGTCAGTCTAACAACGGTCCCGGCACAAGTAAACACCCCGCGCTCGCAACACACGCCCGCCGCGCCGCGAGTGTAAATGCTACCATGTGAACCGGTACAGTGACTCTTGTATATATAAACTGTGTATATATTAGAATGTGTAGGATAGTAAACTCTGAAGATGCCACAACCTGTGGCGAAATGCGCATCAGTTATCAAAAATCAACAAGAACATCATGGCAACAAAAACCAAAAAGGTAATTGATTAAAACTGTTCTTGAAACTGGGTTATATCATAAATTTATTTATTAATTTTAAAATTTTAACTTTTTTTAGCTCTTATATTTACAAATTGGCATTAATGGTTAAAAGTGATTTCGACACATTCATGGACTGTCAACAATCTCATCCACATAACACAAGATTTAAAAATATTATAAAACCAGTTCAACATTGGCTTAAAATCTTTCATTTATCCCCTCAGTATATGGGACCAAAAATTTACAATAAATTACCCGCTGGGATTAAAAACATTGCCTCATTCTCTAAATTTAAACTATCTTTAAAAAAATTTCCTTTTGGAGAGGGCATTTTACTCGTTAGAAGAATATCTGGAAATGAGTATATTTGAAAGATATTGCTTCTCCCATAGGTTTGTAGCTTATTATATGCTTTATTTCTTTTGTAAGCTATTTTATTTTAAAATGTATTATAGTATTAATATTAGACTTTGTGACAAATCACCTGTCAAGAGAATTGATGTAATATGATGATGTTTAATAAATAAATAAAATAAATAAATATATATATATATATATATATATACGTCCCTGAACGCGATAACTTGAGTATTTTTTGTCCGATTTTGATGAAATTCGGTTTAAAGGCGGGATAAACTTAAATGAGTTCGCGAACCAGCATGATCGGACCATGGGAACGGGGTTTTACGGGGGGTTTTATGGGGTGAAAAATGGTGTTTCTAATTTTTGACCCTCAAAACACAAAATTTCCTAATATCTCTCTAGGCCTTTTTAAATAGCTTAAAAAACAAATAATTAGGTATATCAAGTGTTTTTGTACGGTTATTGGTAACGGAGAAAATTCAAAAAATTGTAAATGTAAAATTCCCATACTATTCTTATGAAGAATATTGTAAAATGTTGTAGTTTGCTTGTTTATGGATATATTTTGATCAAACTTGGAAAATTTATTTATTTTATACTAAGCTATTAATATTTTATAAAAAAATACACTTTATTAGTTAATTTAGTTTCCTTGTTGCAGCAAACCTAGGTACTCATTAAACCTAATGTTAAAGATGAAATGTATAACTAATTTTAAGAGTTCAAAAAGGCTAATATATAATACATTGTTTTAATCACATAAGTCACATAACAATCACATAACAATTTACCTAATATATAATACATTGTTTTAATGACATAAGTGATTAAAACAATTTATTATATATTGGCCTTTTTGAACTTTTAAAATTAGTTATACATTTCATCATTCATTGCCAATATCTCCAATATAAGTTATTTAAAAAGGTTTAGTTGAAAATGAATTCAGACAAATGGAAATTTGCTTAGTCGGCAGGTTTGCTGCGGCGGGGGTATTTGTAGAATTGACTCGAGATTGGGTACCCATCACTTTTTCAGCACTTGGAGCAGTTCCTGGGGTAACAGCTGTTTTCTTCTTGATTACTTCTGATTCTGAATTTCTTCTTGGCTTGGACCAGGTTCAGGTTTAGATAATAGTGTCAACAGTTAATGCAGACTGCAAACTGCAATTTGCATTGTTGTTTGTCTCAAACTTTGCCGTTTAAGTGTTAGTCAAGTCAAGTCAATGGTGTTACTTATTTTTATTTATGAAATTTAACTATAAATTCAGTTCACTTAACTTACGGTACCTAACTTTATTTTTTCTCTCTCGAATCAGTCGAATCCCTCAAGAGTGACTTAGAAAGGCATAAGTTGGTTGAGTTGTGTTAGATTAGGATTATTTTGATAAGAATGAGTTTTGGGCCCAACCTTGAGTTAGGGCCCAAGTTTAGTTAAGCCTTTTAGTTGATTTTAGGCTTAATATTGCCTTGTATTGGAGTTTAAGCAACGATCGCGTAAGAATAGACCTATTCTTAATGACACAAGTAGAGAATTTAAGGTATGAGCCCTGGTGAGTGCCTTTAAATGATAACACTACGAGTGTCGTTAAGGCTAATTTAGGCCTACGTGTGTTGTGTAGGCCTACACTAGGTATTTTACCTACGACCGTTTCTTAATTACTAAATTACCTTTTAGTTTACTCATAACTTCCAAGAGAGGTTATGTTTTATTTTATAATTTATCATTATTAGGCCTATGATATATTAAGTTATAGTACTTTTGGTCACCCTAGTCGCAATAATTTCCTATGTTTTTGTTTATAACCTCTAATTACACTACGAGTGTCGTTAAGGCTAATTTAGGCCTACGTGTGTTGTGTAGGCCTACACTAGGTATTTTACCTACGACCGTTTCTTAATTACTAAATTACCTTTTAGTCTACTCATAACTTCCAAGAGAGGTTATGTTTTCTTTTATAATTTATCATTATTAGGCCTATGATATAGCCTATTAAGTTATAGTACTTTTGGTCACCCTAGTCGCAATAATTTCCTATGTTTTTGTTTATAACCTCTAATTGCCGCTGATTGTGATGCAACGTCTTATTGTCCTCAACCACTAATAACTCATTGTTTAATCAATTAAATTGGTAAACCGATGATAAGTTTACGGTTTATAGGCTGTCGTTGGTTGATGTTCGAAGTAGGTAAGCTATTACAATTTTAGCCTAACATACTTCTTTTCTTTCAATCCTTGAACCTCATTCTGTTGTAAGTTAACTTACTTAAAGGAAAACAACAATGCTGTTAAGTAAATATTTTCGGTAGGTACTTTGGTATCATCCGGAGGTACAGCACACTTTTGTACAGTGCACTGTGGCGGTTATGTTAGGTTGGGTTATCATAAATATGTTTGTATGACTTTCCTCGTTGTATTATGAATCAATTATGAATTAACTTATTATTACAATAGGTACCGACCAGATGAGTCATACTTTTCTCGCCAAATCCCCTCCAAGTAGGCCAAGGTGAGGTCGTTGATCGGAGCACACGCATCACCTGTCACTGCCTGTATCTGGTGTGGCAGCTAGCGGCGGCGATGCATTTAACTCAATCCTTGCCGACATCGCTGCCTTCTGGCAGGCAGAACTCAAAGGTCGCTAGTTGTAATCATGTCAAATGTAGACAGTAAGTCAATTAAAGTATTTTCTTTTAATTTATGATAACCCAACCTAAGTTCCCATACCCCCATTACCCATACCGCCGCAGCCTGCTGTATAATGGCAGCCTCCGGATAACACTAAAGTACCATATTTTCATTTCTAAGAACTGAACTGAAATGGCTAGTTTGAAAAACGGTCGCAGGTAAAATAGGCCTAAGTCAAATTTCAACTGGAATGTCGAATGTTTGTTACAGGCCTAGTTTGTTATACACTTTTGAGTGATTCAGTTTTACCCTAATAACTTAGAATGTCGTCTCATGTGTGTAAACTGTGTTCTAAGACATTCACTAAAAGGTTTTCTCTGAAGAGACATTATAATAATGTTCACAACGAATACAGCCCTAATGTCGGAGACCCAAGGTGTTCACAAACTGTTCAGTGTGCAATATGTGCTTCAGACCTTGTTAATACAGCCAATTTGAATGATCACTTATATTCTAAACATCAGATTAATATCAAATCGGAGGAAATTTCATTCATTTGTGAAGAAGAATTTTTAAAGTGGAAGAAGTGTCATGAAGAAAGTGAAAAAACTCTGTTTATCAACAGAAGAGGTAGCTACACATATAAAGACAAGAAAATCACTTACTATCAGTGCCATCGATCGGGTAATTACAGAACGCACTTATCTTCTGAGTCTTGTCGCAAACGATCCATAAAAATTCAGGGAACAAAGAAAATAAATAGTTACTGCCCTGCAAAAATTAAAGCTACTACTTCGATGGTAAATGGTAGCGTTAAAGTGGAATTTTGTAAGACTCATATAGGACATCAAGCTGAGATAGCCCATTTGAGTATCCCTAAAGATGAACGACAAAGTATTGCAACCAAAATTGCCCAACAAATCCCGTTTGAAGCTATTATTGATGAGGCTCGGCAAACTGTTACCAACGAGATTACAAGGAGACATCTTCTGACAAAACAAGATCTTAGAAATATAGTGAGAGACTATAGTTTAGATGATGAATGTGTTAGAAATATAGTGAGAGATTATAGTTTAATTAATGAATGTGTACGACATACAAATGATACGATCAATGTTGAAAAAGGGGTAGAAATGGAAATAGATAAAAAGTGACAAGAACTCATTCATTAGTGTACAAACCTCAGGGTCTTCATCTGATTAATTTTGGTAAGTGAATTATATATTAGATAGATTAGGCGATTTTTTTAAACAGAACTCCCCCATTTTTGGACCGATTTTGATTATTAAAGTGTCAAAAATATCGCCCTGATCTGTAGTTTTGCAAAATGTTTTTCATTTTTTGAAATCTTTGTTAGTTTGAGCAGGATCTTCCATCAAAGTTGGGGTTTCTCCCAAAAGATTAACATGGGGGAATCTAAAAATATTTAATTGAAAACTTTGTCTCCACTAATTTGAGAGAACGGCTGGGCGTAGAAACTTGGTAGAGGTATGCTAAGAAAGGTCTCAGTCTGGAGATGAGCCATCAAAAGAAAAACCAAGTAAATCCCCTTATGGCTCTGCCCCAGAAGCCTTTAAAGTTCCCTTCCCAGATTTGTTTACATTATCGTCATATGGATATTTTTTACTACTTTTCATTGAAATAGCTATTAATATTTAAATTGTATTTTAAACAACACACATTAGGCTATAGCAATGTGATTTTCTGATTTTAAAAATTATTTTGTTCTACATCATCTCATGTTTTGCAATAGGCCTATAGGCTAACGTTCAATTACAAAATCATTGGAAAATCTTAATACCTATTACAGTAACTCTTAAAATGATTTCTTATCGAATTATCTTATATCTATTGAACGGGTTGGTGTCTGCCCTTTTGACCACTTTTGCCGATATTTTGTCATAGGCCTATTATTCAAAACAGATCATCATAGGTTCATGAGACTATTTTCATACGTTTTCAATTATTGGAAAACATTTTGATTGTGTAATACAATAGGTACAAAATAATACAAGTGGAGAAGGGCTGGTTGCCCATGAGCCGTGTCCGTATTTTGTTAAATTAATAGTGGTTTACAGCAACTGGATAAATTTTTTAATAACTTATGAAGAAATATGTGCATGATTTAGAAAGTCATTAATCTGCAAAATTGCAATTTATTGCAGACCTTTTAGGCCCAGCGCACACGGTGTGACTGTTTTACAACTTTCGTTGCAGCTTTGTGACCTCGGCAATGTATTACAATGGGGAGGCGCACACGACGCAACCGGTTGTATGCGATTTTAAAAAAAGTTTGAAACCAGTCACATGCAACCGTGGGCCCGACGTTGCAGCAACCAGTTGCACGAGACCACGGGGTGTTTTTGTGGTGTTTGGTGGTATTTTGACGGCCGTATAGTGTTTTTAGTGTTTATAATTTCCTATCCGACTAGCTCTAGCTGCTACAAACAGCCTAGGACTAACATTCTTCCTCAAATAAGGGTGAACCCAATGCTCTCTCGGTACCCATCGCTGTCTTCGGTATTGATAATAGCTAATAACGTCTTCTTCGTCTGAGTCTGACATAGAAAGCGCACTTAGGCTTTAAAACAACGTAACTGCACTAAATTGACACTCCACTGATTGCACAATAGACGCAACTGTAGTAGTAAAACAGTCACACCGTGTGCGGACAGAAGTTTTGTTTCAGTTGCAAACTGGTTTTAGATGCAACTGGTTTGCAACAGTTGTTGTAAAACAGTCACACCGTGTGCGCTGGGCCTTAGAGATGTTACTTCGATGTATTCATTCAGCTTAGTGAAAACACAATAGAACCTTTGAATGTTATGCATTATTTGTTGCCAATGAAGCAGCATACGAACAAGGTCCCTTATTTCAAGAATAAAAGCTAGCTTCACTACAAGTAGGGTAGCCTATATTCCACTACACCTAACATTCCGAAGATATATTATATTGAACACTTTATGTAAGGGTGAGACAACTGACATCCGCATGTCATGAAATCAATGTTATGCTAAAAAATTATTATAGCTAAATTTAGAGGGTTATTCATAGGCACAGAAGTACGGTATGATGACCGTCGTGACGAAGGTAAAATAAAACTTACACAGCTTTTGGGAGGGCCTCCCTTTGAAGTACGAACGTGCCGTGCCTTCTCAACAAACAGATATTAAAAAAAAAAAAATAATCAGCATAACTGATGAAATCGCAGTTAAGAAGAATTGTCGTAAGCATTTAAAGCAACCGTCGATTTTGACGGGTTTCACCTAGTAGGCTACTATATATTCTTTATTTTAGTTGATTGTTCTTAATGCTTAAGAAAGAATTTGGGTGAAAATTCGTTACGTACTGTCCACAATGACAGAGTACATTGTTTAGTAGAATGGAATCATTTCCAGTTATTGTTGTCAATGCTACTAAGGCCCCGTTTATTAATGCACCAAGAGCGGGAGCGATTTTCAACACCATTGAGTTAAATGGGACTGTTTATGCACGAAGAGCGATAGCGGGAGCGGTTGCCCTCTTGCTGCGGTTTCTAATTCGACCGCTGTGTAGTTAGAAATCGCAGCGGTTGCTTGGGATAGAGCGGTTTTCAACTACATTGAGTCAAATGAGACTGTTTACGCACGGCGGGAGCGGGAGCGGCTGCAGCCAGGGTTGCCAACTTGACCCACGCGCACGTGCACTTAGGACAAATAGTTGTGTTAATTATTTGGCAGAGTTTGAGTTGGCAAGACTGTATACAACTTCCATTCTCCGTTGACCAACCGCTACCGCTATTGCTTGCACAATTTTGACAAAATTTTTACAGTGGGAGCGGGCCCGCTATTGCCCCGCTCTTGGTGCATAAACGGGGCCTAAGGCATTGTTGTCGGTCTTATCTTATCTGTCTAAGAAAGATAACGGTTCGCTGTAGCGTCTCCAGCAGCGGCCCGCGGTAATGGATCATTTTAGTTCAGTTACTCAAACAAAATTTTAAGCTGTTCGAAGAGTTTGGTCGGGTTAGGTTAGTTTACAACAGTGTTATCTAACCTAACCTAACTTAACCAACCAAACTTCTCATCAGCTTAAAATTTGCAGTAAGCCTAGTTATTCTATTATTTTTTGCGATTCTCCAAATTTATATAGCGTGTGATCAAAAACCTTTTCTAAATATTGTATTTTTCATTATTTATTACCTTAAAAGGTTTTCAATAAGTCATAGAAGTGCAATTGGAAAAATTAGAGTTGTGGGCACGTAACGGATTTTGACCAGAATTTGTATGTAAAATTTCACTTTTTCACAGTTAAGATGAAGGATGCTGACCAGAATGTCAATGTGACTGTTCGGTAATTGTTTAGTACCTTTCGACTTAATCACCTGCAATTAATTATTATTCTAGGAAGATATGTCACTCTAAATAGAATTTCTAAGAATAGGCTATATTACGATTGTATAATTGTTGGAAAAGCATTATTTGAAATGAAAGAGGTAATCTTATCTCCAAGGTAGAGGTGATAACGAGCGCTTAAGGTAATTTCATGTTATTGGTTAGGCTATGTTATGTTAGGTTAGGGCATAGACACAAAGGCGCTAGTGTCGACGAAACTTTGTTTCTATTATTTTAGTGTTAATTTCTTGATTTGTGCTTTACTGTTTGGTTATATAACTAGGGGACAAGTTATTGTTTATGATTAGATCGTATTATTTGGTTAAATGAGGTTTTAAATGGCTGTAATAACAGGAAACAAATTGTAAACAAAACACAACCTCTACATAAACCGTACAGAACTAACAATAAAATTGTCTTCAGCTGTTCCATAAGGATGAGAAATCTACTAAGGGATTATGTTTTATCTATGGTTAGGGTTATTATACGTTATATTTTTACATCTACTTAACCTTACCCTAACCTAACATTAATTTATTTGCCTACTTTGTTAAACCAAGTTACTCCCACCGCTTACCAGCTCCTATATTTTGGACATGTTTTGGGATTTTATACTCTTCCAATATTGCTTTCCGACCCATTAAACATAATAACATGATCATCATTAAATTTTAAATAAAAGAAAGACCGTGCAAGGCAATAAAAAAATAACAATAATAAATTCAGCTATCTGTATCCTGGTAACTAAATTTTCTTCAATGTCTTAAACCTAAATGTTTTAGATCTACAAATTTGTATTGTGTCAAACTAAAACTAATGATACTAGTAAAAACAATACAATCTTATTGGAAACAAAAACGTGTTGGTTTTTAGATTCACTTGATGAAAATAATGAACTTCGCTGGTTCAAGAAGGTCAGTATTTAATTAAGAGATATTTCTTGTTATTAAACATGAAAAACCATGTAAAAATGTTAATTTCAATTTAATTCAATTGGACAAAAAAATCAGATTTTAGAAGAAAAGAATTACCTATGTTATGATTTGAGTTTTCCAGTTATAGTGCTTTGAACAGAAGGTGTTTCTGGCCTTTTGGGGAGTCATTGATAGGATCTAACTTGAGGATTAAACAACAACAAATTTGTCCAACTGCCACTTAACACTAATACCGAAACCCTACCTAGGCTGACGTTTACCGAAACCCCCGGTCTGTGAGACCCAATTTGAAAAATAATGGACCCCGCTTAGACACACACAAACCGAAAACCTCGGCCTGTGAGACCCCACTTTAAAATACACTAACAATGGGATTCTGAGACGGGCATGTGATGAACAGACAACCTGTCAAGGTCACGGCACCCATGCAAAATGAACAAACAATATATCAATAGGTAGGGGAGGTAAAGGGGGGAAGGTATTGGGGGAATCGAATCTCCCAAGTAATCAGTGTTGCCAACATGCGTTTTTGAAAATTCCCATGGGCCTGTCAGACCGGGGTTTCGGTTTTAGTGTTAATATAACTAGGATAAGAATATGCCAGGGGTAAAGAAACTGATCTTAACTTTATTGTAGCACATATGCGACCGCCGATTTCTACCCAATAGACTGCCGTCGAATATATGCGACAGCTGGTCACAAAGTAGACTGGCGTCGCATATTTGCGTCGGTGTCCAATATTATTAAAAAGCTTATATCTTCGTAACGGTCTATTTGAAGGCCCTGAATTCTCTTACGTGGTCTACAAGGATATCTGTTGCATATGTGCGTCACTTGGTCTGTGGATATGATGATTTGTGATGTCACATGATAGTTGGCAAAACTGATTTTTACTTTGCTGCATCACTAGCCCGCGGTCTGCATGTAGGCCTACTGTTAACTAAGTGACAACCGGTCTATCTGTAATATTAAAATGTATATACCTCGGGTTGTGGCAATGACCGCAAATATTCGGCGAACGTGTTAAAGAAGACAAACCATCACTCGGGTTTAATACTACGAACATGTTGTACTAGTAGTCTGAATTATACAGGTAAATCACCGTTTATGGTACAATGGCACCTATGACAGATTTTAAATATTGCATATTAGTAACTATTAGTGTTATTTATATCTCATAATTTTCTTAAATAAACATGTTTTTTTTTTGTTTTATAGGATGATGATTTTCTGGAACTAATTTAATCTAAATGTGAGAAGGTATTGCTTTATTAGTTAAGCTTCTGAGACGAGTATTGACACAATATTTAAATGTGCTGTTTTCACACATATCTCCTCATTTAAAACTTCAAACCATTTATTATATAGTACATGTATGTTTCCAGGGAAACACAGGTTAAACTGAAGTTTTATAATTGAAGATGAATTACAGTGTAAGCAGCTTCTTGTCTGGACTCTAACTTTAACAGGGAAAGGAAAATAGAAATCTTCAGACCGTGAGTGCTCATGCTTCAAACCACAATAATGCCTCATGTAGTTGTGTTGTGAGAAAATTTGGTTGAAAATATATGTAGAAATGTCTGCTTTAGCTGAAAGAACAATAGGTTTCAAAGGGGACTGCAAAAAAATGTACAAAAGAACTTTTGTATTTAAGTGAATTTTAACATTGTACAATAATGTATTACAGTGATTGTGCCTTATAATGTGTTTGCTCAACCTACATCTCCTTACCACATCACCATACATCATCATACCTTAAATTTGTGGTGGTATAAAGGATTCAGTAATGATAGGTTTTAATTGTTTTGTATCAATACAATATTGAACTATGGCAATGCTAGTCTTGTAATAACTAACAAATCAAGGGATTGTCCAGAGTTAGCTTAATGAGAATAAATGTTTAATGCTATGACGATTTTAGGAGCACATTACATTGCTTAAGCAATTGAGGCAATAGGAAGAACTGAAATTTTATATTTTAGGCGTATTAGGACTGAGTAGTAATAAATGTTTACTCAGTCAGATACCGTATTAATATTAATAGTTCTCTTGTGTCCAATAACACTTAAGTTATTTTACTCATGTATTATTTTTATTATTTAGAAATTTGCTCATTTTCCTACATTCCGTATTTTGTAGAAAGCAAAAAGCATAACATCTATAAAGTATTGAGTAGAGTTCACAGACTGTAATTGAGTTATGTGATAATCTAGAGGTTAAATACCTTATTGCCAACGTAATCCATGGTAGACTTAATGGCTACCGGTTTCGACACACTTATGGTGTCATTGTCAAGCCTAGACGTGGTTTTTCGTTCCTAGGAGGTCGTCATAAAGTCTTCAAAAACACATAACGAGACAAACAAACGAACAAATAACAAAAACGAACACGTACACACATTTTAACGAATAAGGTATGGCCATACAACTCACGGCGCGGCTGCGGGTTCAGGGTGTGAGTCTAGACCTACACCCTGAACCCGCAGCCGCGCCTTGAGTTGTATGGCCATACCTTATTCGTTAAAATGTGTGTACGTGTTCGTTTTTGTTATTTGTTCGTCTCGTTATGTGTTTTTGAAGACTTTATGACGACCTCCTAGAAGCGAAAAACTACGTCTAGGCTTGTCAATGACACCATAAGTGTGTCGAAACCGGTAGCCATTAAGTCTACCAAGGATTACGTTGGCAATAAGGTATTTAACCTCTAGATTATTATTTGTTAAGTAATCCGGAAGGCAACACCTCAGAAATGAGTTATGTGTAATATAAAATGTTGTACATCAGTGTCATTATTCTTTATCTTAGGTACTCTGTACATTATTTGATTTGATGTGTTGGTAACGCTCTTTTAAAACATTTTACATCAGTGACTTCCGTTATGCTAGACATGCTACTATTATTATATTCCACAACTTTGTTCTGTGCCGTAATTTCACCCTAATAAATCCAGTTAATGAACGAAGCTGTGAGTTCTTTTAATAATACCCAAAGTCAAAATACAACTCTGTCTACCATGGAAATTGTCTTCTACTTTATGAAGAAAGAGCCTTCGACATGCAGCTTAAATTTCCCTTAAAACATTCGTAGCTGTAAATGTAGATCATGAGAACAATTGATTAGAGATTAAAAACTGTACTGTAATAAAAATATAGATTTTCAATTCTTCGACATTAAATCTTAAGTACAGATGAGAAGCTAATTGTTGACAATGTCTCAAATATTTGGACTGTTATTTAAATTTTTGTATGCTTCATGCCATCTTAAAAATGTGTGGTCTATGTAAGTTAATGATTAAAAATCTTTCTGTTGCTTTATATTATTAACCTTTTTCCAATCGAGTGGTCAGTGGTCCCATTTATATGTTTCAATCAACATTTTTAGCCTGAGCATCCCGAGGCATGCAAAATGATATGAAAGGGGGTTGTCTCTTTTTTGTTGAAGTTTAGTTTAACATTCCCCAAAAATCTGATTCCAACACAACAAATCATTCTTTAATTATCTTTTGTCACTATTTATGTCACTCTTTGAACCAACAAAGTTTACTATAGTGTAAGCAAAGCGATTCATTCATAATTTCAAGTCAAACTTCTGGAAGAATTCATGAGTCTGTAAACACAAAGGATACCTACTGAAAGTAAGTAGTTATTAATCTCCAGCAATTTACAGTATTATGAATTATATTAACTACCGTAGTATATTTTAGTGATGTAAGCATCATAAAAATTACAATTCTCTTAAGTGTTTCACAAATTAAACTGCTTCTTGAGAGAATATCCAAACTTTTACAATTCATAAAATTGCCAAGAAAATACAATGTTTACTCAAAAAATAAAGGCAATAGAATAAATGGAGATTGCATAGAAAATGTTAAGACAAGGTCAAAGTAATGACAACTATTGATAAACAACCTTTTACATCTAAAAAGGACAATTTCATAAACATCTTAGATTCCTTTTTTATTCAACTAAAAACTGCATCATTCTAACAAAGAACGATTTAAATGTTTATATTAATTAAAAATAATATCTAAGTTTTATTCTAACCATATGTTGATGTTCCGATGTCCCAATTGTACTGGGATGAAGACGTCATTGGTTGCGTCAAGAAGAGTTGAGATTCTGTTTTTTTTTTCATCTTAAGATTTTCTGTTGCGTTTTATCCTTTCTATAATTTTGTTCATTACATTATTTTTGGAGGTGTAAAAGTTATTGGGAGTTTCTCCTTTTGGTGGATAGTTTTGTGTCAAAGATCTTTTAGAATTGAGTTTTTAACCTAGGGATTTTTTGTTAAATAATTAATTGCTCACAAATAAAATTAAATTAAAAAAACATATCAAACAAGTCCTTAGTACTTCCGCCTTTGATAGGGATGGGAAAACTTGTTAGGATAGCCAGGAAAGCGGGCATTAAAAAATCTAATAATGAGTAGGCTAGAGGGGGGTTTTAAGGGGGGAGGGATTTGATTTGACTCAGGGACGTGGGCTAAATCATGATAGGCTAGTCCAGGGCCCGGGATTATGGGGGAAATAGGTTAGAGGGGGGCAACGAAAGTCGGAAGTTCTAATGACTTGATTTTCTATTACATAAGTCAGCTAAAAGTTGAGTTAAACTGTTACTGATCCTAATTCTATTTGTTGTTTTTTCCATCTCTTTAATTTATCTTTGAGTATGAATGTCACTTCTCCTTTTGGTGGATAGTTGTTTGTCGAAGATTTTTTAGAATTGAGTTTTTGGTTTGTTTCATCCATAGGGATTTTGTTTGTAAAATAAATTATAGTTCACAAAGGAATGTTTAAAAACATATCAAACAAGTCCCTTAGAACCTTTGATAAAAAAGCCTTTGCCTTTGATAAGGATGGAAAAAACTTGATAGGATAGCCAGGAAGTGGACATTAAAAAAAGGGTAGGTTAGAGGGGGGTTTTAAGGGGGGAGGGATTTTATCTGACTCAGGGACGTGGGCTGAAATAAAGGTAGGCTAGTCAGGGCCGGGGTTATGGGGTGAGATAGGTAAAAGGGGGGCAACGAAAGTCGGAAGTTCTTATGACTTGATTTTTCATTCCACAAGTAAGATAATGATTGAGCCAACAAAATTACTCATCCCAATTCTATTTGTTGATTTTTCAATTTAATTCATTTTTGTTTTGTTGTGAAACTAAATGTACGTTTCTCCTTTTGATTGATAGTTTTTTTGTATCCACATTATTTCTTGCTTGTCATCATTGGGGAAGGTTATCAGTTTTTCTTAGAAAAATGAATCTACTGCATCTAATATAAATGGGGTTTTTTTACTTTTTAGTTTGTTCAATATTTAGGGATTTTTTGGAAAAGAAATAATAATAGCTCATAAAAGAAATTTAACATAAAAAAAATCAAACAAGTCCTAAGTACTTCCGTCTATGATAGGGATGGGAAAAACTTGATAGGATAGCCAGGAAGCGGGCATTAAAAAAGAGTAGGTTAGAGGGGGTTTTAAGGGGGGAGGGATTTTGATTTGACTCAGGGACGAGGGCTGAATAATAATAGGCTAGTCAGGGCCTATGGGTTATGGGGTAAGATAGGTTAGAGGGGGGCAACAAGAGACGGAAGTTCTAATGACTTGATTTTTCATTGCACTGTAAGATAATGATTGAGCCAACAAAATTAATTATCCATCCTAATTTTATTTGTTGACTCTTTCCATTTTATTTATTTTTGTTCAAGTGTCAGAGTTAATGTGCATTTCTCATTTTGATTGATGGTGTTTTTTTTAATGATTTCTTGCTTGTCATCATCCTTAGGGTAAGATAACAAGTTGGAAAATGAATATACATCTGATTGAGTGTGAGCGTTTAGTTGTTTTTTTTATCCATGCGGCTATTTGTGTAAAAGAAATAATAGCTCATTGCTTGATTTAATAGCTCTTTGGTTAGGCTATGGGTTAGTTTTTTTGCATTAAAATTTCATTTGATTAGAGTGGTGTTTTGGTTTGTTTCTTCCATAGGGATTTTTAGCAAAGAAATAATAATTGCTCACAAAAGCATTTAACATAAAAAAAAAAAAACATATCAAACAAGTCCTTAGTACTTCCGTCTTTGATAGGGATGGGAAAAGCTTGATAGGATAGCCAGGAAGCGGGCATAAAAAATGAGTAGGTTAGAGGGGGGTTTTAAGGGGGGAGGGATTTTGATTTGACTCAGGGACGTGGGCTCGATAATAATAGGCTAGTCAGGGCCGGGGTTATGGGGTAAGATAGGTTAGAGGGGGGCAGCGAAAGACGGAAGTTCTAATGACCCGTGTCCATAAAAGAGGGGGAAGATTCGAACATACAAGGCTTGTGTTTTTTTTTTATGTAGCAAAAGGGTCGTGCAGGATTTTATCAGTTAAATTTTCATCCTAGGGTTGTCTAAGGAGTTCTAGGGTTAGGGTATTGGTATAGGTCAACTGAATATCTGGGAAGATCATCATGCCTGCTGTGAGAGGAGTGCCAAATCAATGACAAGAGTGCTTCTCATCTTTGTGAAGTCCACGACAAGAGTGCTTCTCATCTTTGTGAAGTCCATGACAAGAGTGCTTCTCATCTTTGTGAAGTCAACGACAAGAGTGCTTCTCATCTATGTGAAGTCCACGACAAGAGTGCTTCTCATCTTTGTGAAGTCCACGACAAGAGTGCTTCTCATCTTTGTGAAGTCCATGACAAGAGTGCTTCTCATCTTTGTGAAGTCAACGACAAGAGTGCTTCTCATCTATGTGAAGTCCATGACAAGAGTGCTTCTCATCTTTGTGAAGTCCACGACAAGAGTGCTTCTCATCTTTGTGAAGTCCACGACAAGAGTGCTTCTCATCTTTGTGAAGTCCACGACAAGAGTGCTTCTCATCTTTGTGAAGTCCATGACAAGAGTGCCTCTCATCTTTGTGAAGTCCACGACAAGAGTGCTTCTCATCTTTGTGAAGTCCACGACAAGAGTGCTTCTCATCTTTGTGAAGTCCACGACAAGAGTGCTTCTCATCTTTGTGAAGTCCACGACAAGAGTGCTTCTCATCTTTGTGAAGTCCATGACAAGAGTGCTTCTCATCTATGTGAAGTCCACGACAAGAGTGCTTCTCATCTATGTGAAGTCCACGACAAGAGTGCTTCTCATCTTTGTGAAGTCCATGACAAGAGTGCTTCTCATCTTTGTGAAGTCAACGACAAGAGTGCTTCTCATCTTTGTGAAGTCCACGACAAGAGTGCTTCTCATCTTTGTGAAGTCCACGACAAGAGTGCTTCTCATCTTTGTGAAGTCCACGACAAGAGTGCTTCTCATCTATGTGAAGTCCACGACAAGAGTGCTTCTCATCTTTGTGAAGTCCATGACAAGAGTGCTTCTCATCTTTGTGAAGTCAACGACAAGAGTGCTTCTCCTGTTTGTGAAGTCCACGACAAGAGTGCTTCTCATCTTTGTGAAGTCCATGACAGGAGTGCTTCTCATCTTTGTGAAGTCAACGACAAGAGTGCTTCTCATCTATGTGAAGTCCACGACAAGAGTGCTTCTCATCTTTGTGAAGTCCACGACAAGAGTGCTTCTCATCTTTGTGAAGTCCATGACAAGAGTGCTTCTCATCTTTGTGAAGTCAACGACAAGAGTGCTTCTCATCTATGTGAAGTCCATGACAAGAGTGCTTCTCATCTTTGTGAAGTCCACGACAAGAGTGCTTCTCATCTTTGTGAAGTCCACGACAAGAGTGCTTCTCATCTTTGTGAAGTCCACGACAAGAGTGCTTCTCATCTTTGTGAAGTCCATGACAAGAGTGCCTCTCATCTTTGTGAAGTCCACGACAAGAGTGCTTCTCATCTTTGTGAAGTCCACGACAAGAGTGCTTCTCATCTTTGTGAAGTCCACGACAAGAGTGCTTCTCATCTTTGTGAAGTCCACGACAAGAGTGCTTCTCATCTTTGTGAAGTCCATGACAAGAGTGCTTCTCATCTATGTGAAGTCCACGACAAGAGTGCTTCTCATCTATGTGAAGTCCACGACAAGAGTGCTTCTCATCTTTGTGAAGTCCATGACAAGAGTGCTTCTCATCTTTGTGAAGTCAACGACAAGAGTGCTTCTCATCTTTGTGAAGTCCACGACAAGAGTGCTTCTCATCTTTGTGAAGTCCACGACAAGAGTGCTTCTCATCTTTGTGAAGTCCACGACAAGAGTGCTTCTCATCTATGTGAAGTCCACGACAAGAGTGCTTCTCATCTTTGTGAAGTCCATGACAAGAGTGCTTCTCATCTTTGTGAAGTCAACGACAAGAGTGCTTCTCCTGTTTGTGAAGTCCACGACAAGAGTGCTTCTCATCTTTGTGAAGTCCATGACAAGAGTGCTTCTCATCTTTGTGAAGTCAACGACAAGAGTGCTTCTCATCTTTGTGAAGTCCACGACAAGAGTGCTTCTCATCTTTGTGAAGTCCACGACAAGAGTGCTTCTCATCTTTGTGAAGTCCACGACAAGAGTGCTTCTCATCTATGTGAAGTCCACGACAAGAGTGCTTCTCATCTTTGTGAAGTCCATGACAAGAGTGCTTCTCATCTTTGTGAAGTCAACGACAAGAGTGCTTCTCATCTATGTGAAGTCCACGACAAGAGTGCTTCTCATCTTTGTGAAGTCCATGACAAGAGTGCTTCTCATCTTTGTGAAGTCCACGACAAGAGTGCTTCTCATCTTTGTGAAGTCCACGACAAGAGTGCTTCTCATCTTTGTGAAGTCCACGACAAGAGTGCTTCTCATCTTTGTGAAGTCCATGACAAGAGTGCTTCTCATCTATGTGAAGTCCACGACAAGAGTGCTTCTCATCTATGTGAAGTCCACGACAAGAGTGCTTCTCATCTTTGTGAAGTCCACGACAAGAGTGCTTCTCATCTTTGTGAAGTCCACGACAAGAGTGCTTCTCATCTTTGTGAAGTCCACGACAAGAGTGCTTCTCATCTTTGTGAAGTCCACGATAAGAGTGCTTCTCATCTTTGTGAAGTCCACGACAAGAGTGCTTCTCATCTTTGTGAAGTCAACGACAAGAGTGCTTCTCCTGTTTGTGAAGTCCACGACAAGAGTGCTTCTCATCTTTGTGAAGTCCATGACAAGAGTGCTTCTCATCTTTGTGAAGTCCACGACAAGAGTGCTTCTCATCTTTGTGAAGTCAACGACAAGAGTGCTTCTCATCTTTGTGAAGTCCATGACAAGAGTGCTTCTCATCTTTGTGAAGTCAACGACAAGAGTGCTTCTCATTTTTGTGAAGTCAACGATAAGAGTGCTTCTCATCTTTGTGAAGTCCACGACACAAGTGCTTCTCTGCTTAATGAAGTTTGCTTAAAAACCAGTCACAGAGGCTACACTGGTCACCCCAAGAGGTTGGTATCTTTAGCAAGAACTACTTTTAACTATTTTTATATTAAGTATGAAGTACTACATATGTTGGTCAGTGTTCAGGTAAGTAGAAGTATATCTCAAGAACTTGGCTGGATCTTGTTACGTAAACTGTGTTGGTTCAATGGAGTTGGTGGTTACCATTAGGGCCAGCACGACATTTCATTACTAATAATATGGATAAAGTAAAAATAATTTGACAACAAATTTTTGTTTTATTGTTTTATTGAAACAATGAACTATCTCATACTAACAAGACAACTTTTTACAAAAAATAAGACGTGATAAAACACAAACTAATACTGGAAGTAAAAAATATTTGTATGTCCTTAATCAAATTCTATGTACAAATAAATTTAAAACTCCAAATAATAACGTATGCAAATTTGATTCTACACAACTTTTGACGATGTTAGAGACGAAGTGAAATAAATAATACAATTGTAGAGCGATTTCATTTACTGTTGATAAATAAATACAAAATCTTTGCTTTTATGTACAAAATAAGATACACTAGACATAGGCGTGTAGGCACAAATAGAAACTGACTTTACAATGCGCTACGTTCAACTTTCGGCCACCGGAGGTTTGTCTTTAGTCTCCTTTTCTTTATTCCAATCCTTCAGTCCTTCGGGTAATGTGGTGTCTTCTTCGAAGGAGCCAGTGCCTTCGACAAACTCTTCGTATGTTGACTTCTCAGGGAAAGGTCGCTTACCTAACAGTTCGATCATGTCGTCTCGACTCAATATCTCCTGCTTTAACAACCTCTCTGCAACCTATAAAAAAACAAGTTTGTTTTGTTCTGTTTTTGTAATCACAAAAATAAATTTAGACAATATAATATGTATTGAAAAAGTTCTTATTTTTATTTCTTCCCTATGCATAGTATTATTAGAATACCCCCGCCGCAGCAAACCTGCTGACTAAGCGAATTTCCATTTGTCTGAATTGATTTTCAGTTAAATATATTTTAATAACATTAGGTTTAACGAGTACCTAGGTTTGCTGCTACAAGGAAACTAATAAAGTGTGTTTTTGAGTAAAATATTGATAGCTTAGTACAAAGTAAATAAATTTGCCAAGTTTGATCAAAATATATCCATAAACAAGCAAACTACAACATTTGACAATATTCTCCATAAGAATAACATAGGAATTTTAAATTTACAATTTTTTTAATTTTCTCCGTAACTAATAATTGAACAAAAATACTTTTATATACTAAATTATTTGTTTTTTTAAGCTCTTTAAAAAGGTCTAAAGAGAAATTGGGAAATTTTGTGTTTTGAGGGTCAAAAGTGAGAAAAACCAAATTTTACCCCATAAAACCCCCCGTAAAGCCCCGTTCCCATGGTCCGATCGTGCTGGTTTGCGAACTCATTCAAGTTTATCCCGCTTTACACCCTTAAACCAAATTTCATCAAAATCGGACAAAAATTACTCAAGTTATCGCGTTCACGGACGTATATAAGTCTATATATATATATATATATATATACATATATAAAAATTTGAACGAATGGTGTTTTTGGCCTCTGGGGACATCAAAATTAAAAAGTAAATCGGTCCCAGGTCTAGGTCTTACCGTGCCACCTACGGTAATAGCTACTTCCCTATAGGGAAATTCGCTAAAAGGAGTTTTGGATGAAAATTTCTGTTTTAGGCCCCTGAACCCAAAAATGTGATTTTCGAATTAAAGTTTGTTAGTGTGTGGTGTTTGTGTTGGGTGTGTGTGTGTGGATGTGTTATGGGTAATCCATGGTATATCCAGGCGTTTTTTCAATTTTTTTTACCTCGATTTTTAATGGTGATTTCTGATTTTCCCATAAAATAAAATAATGGAAAATTTTGATTTTCACAAAAAGGCTCGAACGATTTTGATTTCAATTTAGTATGTTGTGATTCTTTAAACTCTAAACAAACTGGTATAACCCCCTAACTTTATAAAAATTATGGTTAAAAAGTTATTGCAATTTTTGTGACTTAACCTTTAAAATATCATAGTTTCTCCTACTGCTTACCAATTATAAGGGTTTTTGACAAGCAAACGGGAGAAGTCAGTTTGCTGATACTGTTTATTTATAATACGGTGACTTTTAAGCCCTCTCTTCTTTGTGCGTCAACATACCTTAGCGACGTTTTCCTTGTGCTTTGTCAACAGCTGGGTCGTGTGTTTGTGAGCCGTGTCAATGAGCAGGCGCACCTCGGAGTCAATCAGCTGAGCCGTACTCTCTGAGTAAGGTTTCTCCAGGACCATCTCTCCGGGCTGAGGCATGTCAAAACTGACGTTTCCTACCTTCTCATTCATGCCAAAGTGAACCACCTGTAAACAAGAATTCGCTTTAAATGTCTAGGAATGTATTTACTAAAACATGGGAGGGAAAAAATATAAATCTTCAAACAGTATCGAGACATAAAAGAATACTTTTATCATAGTTTCAAATGTGTTGTGTAATTCAGGGTGTCCATCAAGTCATAAAAATAAGATTTGGGAACGGTGACAGGATTGCCTGGTTTAAAATTTAAGGTTTGCAAACTAAAACCTAACTGAAAAAAATAAAACTAACTTATTGGTACAAAGAACATTAAAAGTGTTCAGAGAACCTAAACTAACTTCTAAGTACAAACAAAAATAATTATTTCCAAGAAATTGATACATTGGCAAAACTAAAAACAGTTGACAAACCTTTAAAAATTCAATTTTTTCAGACGGTAAAAATGTTCTGCTTCAAAGTAGTTATTGTTTAGGAAGATACAGCTGATTCTATATTAGTTGTGCTCAATAGTGGGACATATTAAATCTGGATTAACACTCAATGCAATGCAAAAAAAGAAATGCTCTTGTTAAAAATTTGGTGATGGTTAAATCCTTAATCCATACACCAAGTGTCCCACGTAGGCACAAGATCTTTATAGACCAGTTTGGCCAGTATTAAACCAGTATTAGGCTGTATAACAGACCGTTAAGATTTGATTCACATTTAACCTAACCTAAAACACTGGCACATATTATGTGGTACATCTACCTGAAGCAAAATTCTGATGGGTGATCCGGCCGGGTTATATTTACAATTTGTAAGAATTGTGTGAGTGAACGTGTTATGCTGAATTTGATCTTAAAAGACCCTAGATATTTACAGAAAACATTTTCTCAATTTCATGGAAGACTCGTTGCCCTCAAAAAATAAGCTTATTGATTCTCAAGTGAAGCAACATCTTTATATACCTGGGCATAAGCACTCTGCGTGACTTTCTTCAGATCATCTTGAGCTCCAGTTGTGATGCGGTTGAAGAAAAGTTCCTCCGAGACACGTCCACCGAGCGTCATGCACATACGGTCAAACAGCTGTTCTTTGGTATATAGGTATTGCTCCTTGGGCAAATATTGGGCGTATCCCAGACCTTTGCCTCTGGGGATGATAGAAACCTGAACAAAAAGAGCTAGAATCATACAGAGCTAGAATTGAGTGTTTATACACAAATTTTATAATAGTATTATGTTACTTCACAAATTATTACGCACATTCAATAAACAAAATGTCATGATGTTTAACGGTCTGGAATCTAATCCCGTAAAAGGAAAAAAAATAAATTAAATTAAATAAAAAAAAGTAACAAAAATAAGGAGATTGGTACGCAAAGTCAAACTAAGTTAAAACACCAATGCGGCTTGGTTTGAGTACTCGCCTTGTTATAATACTTCATTATAATGTAAATTATGCACCTAAAAACGAGATCGAATTTCAGATCATGAAACTACTTTAAAACTTGTTTTGTACTAATTGTGATGGAAAGTGTCTCCAATCCCTATAAATAACATAAATCACAAAAAATTAACATTGAATTGATACATTTTTTAAAGAGGTTGGCGGCCACTTTTGACCTTGCATTTGCCTGTCCACATAGACTACATATCTATGCGTGGAACGTGATCCAGCAAAACAAGGGGTGAGCCGGTACAGTACGAAGGTTAGCTGTACTGAAAAAAGGTTTGCGGCAGTGACCAGGATCCGATCCCATGACATCGCTGCCTTGGGCCCAAAGTCTGTGAAGTTACCGACTGAGCCACCGACACATACGAAAGTATGCAGAACCAACTAGCAATCAAATGCTCCCAAGGTTCCTAACTCACCATCTTTGAATACTTACCATCTGCTACCAACATTGAAACTTAAGGTCCAACCTTAACAACTTTTCTAGAGGGATAAATGGTCAATGTAACTTCCACTATTTAAACATTACCTTAAGGAGAGGATCAGCGTACTGCAGGAACCAGCCTGCCACAGCATGACCTGCCTCGTGATACGCAACTGTCTTCTTCTCCTCGGGCTGAAGTACATTTGTCTTCTTCTCCATGCCGGCAACAACTCGTTCAATCGCTTGTTCAAAATGCTTCAAATAGATGGTCGATTGCAGATCCCGGGCTGCAATCAATGCTGCCTCGTTGCACACGTTCGCAATGTCCGCACCTGGAGGAGGAATAATTTGCTTTTAACTGCTGTGGCAGTAGCGTATGCAGTAATCATAATAATTGTTTATACCGTACACCGGAATATATATATAATTGGATATTTAAAAAATACCCCCGCCGCAGCATCCCTGCTGTCTAAGCTAATTTAAATTTGATTGAATTTTTACTGAAATATTTCAATAAACAAGACATTATTTTATTCCTTATTTAAATAATATTTGATTTAACGAGTACTTAGGTTTGCTGCTATAGGGAATGTAAGAAGTGTACAAAATTATTTGTTTTTTAAAGCTCTACATGGTGGTTATACTAAAAATCTGGCATTTCCATACATAAATGGGATAAATTTGGGAAAAAACAATTTTTGAACAAAATAAAACCCACAATATCTCGTTCCCATGACCCGAGCTCGCTGGTTCGTGACCTCATTTAAGTTAATCCTGCCCTAAACCTTGAAGCCAAATTTCATCAAAATCGGAATCGGACCAAAATTACTTGAGTTATAGTTTTCACAAACACATATATGTACATAAATAAAAATTTGAACAAATAGTGTTTTTTAGTATCAAAATGAAAAAAAGAAATCGGCCTCAGGCTCAGGTTTTACCGTGCCACCTACGGTAAATTGGTTCCGTTCTTTCCTATTCGCTAAAAACATGGCATAGCCTATTGTTTATATTTTTTCTGACTTTTAATTTATTAAGATTTACTACATACACTGATTGTGTGCACAGAAATTTCTAATAGTTAGTAACATCATAACTAAATAATACATTTCTATAAATTAAACGACTTTATTCCAAGTGTTTTTATGCTAAAAAAAGATTATGATTTTTGTATTTCTAATGTGGTCAGGAGTAGTGATGAAGTTGTTTAGAAAGGTGTCAAGTAGTGGTTTTAGTGCTAAATAAAAACTATATTAAAAATCAAACAATTCCCATCTTCAATCTGAATTAAGGGTATTTAGCTAGGTTGAGTAGGTACAGTACCGGAGTAAATCTCAACATCAAGAAACATACAGAAAGCGTCATAGAAAGTGAATAATAACTAAATAATAATTAGTGTGTATGAAGGACAATAGGTGTATGAAGGATGGAGTAGCTGAAGCGATGGACACCCCAACATTTTGTTCCAACTCATTTCTCAACTGTAAAACATTTAATGTAAGTTTTAAATTTTTAGGGTCAATCTTTACAAACACAAACAGATAGTTTTAAGGATGGTTTCAAGCAACTTATGTACACCATACCTGTAAAACCAGGTGTTAGGGCAGCCATTTTCCTGGACAGATCGTTTCTATCCAAGTCCGTCTTCAACGGGGCCAGATGCACCTTGAAGATTGAGGCTCTACCCTTGATGTCTGGGGCTGGTACAAAGATCTGTCGGTCGAAGCGGCCGGGCCGCAACAACGCCTTATCCAATATGTCTACTCTGTTGGTGGCAGCTAACACGACAACATTGGTGGTTGTGTTGAACCCTGGAACACAAATGAAAGTTATTTTACAATACTTGCTGCAAGATTGAATATCATAGTCAAGTTGAATATTAGGGTGGTAAGAATTCTTAAACAGTAATAGTTGTGAAAGTTGTGATCCATGGAGAACAAAGGTACAATACAAAAGTTGCCTCTGACCTCTTGAGACTAGACAGACGAAGAATCAAACTAACTAGAGAACTGGTCACGGGCGATTCAGGAAACATTTACAACGGATGGGCTAATTTGATGGTGAACTGATCTGTAGGCCCTGTCAGAAGAGACAGCTGATCACCTGCTCTTTGATTGTGACGAGCTCTCTGATGCTAGAATGATTACTCTTGGTAATTTGGCTAGAGGAAGATATCTTCCCGAGGATGAACTTATTGGGAAGCTGCAGGCATTCATTGGACGCCTTAACTTGTAAGGTCAACAAGGAAACAATTGCCTTGGGTGCGCAACAATTTGATTTTCGGATGAAGTGCTTTAAGGTCTCGACCTGACTCTGTTAGATAAGATAAGGTACAATACACTTACCATCCATCTCTACCAATAGTTGATTGAGTGTATTTTCTTGTTCTGAATGTCCTCCGAAGCTTCGGCCACCTCGCTTTCTACCAACAGCATCAATCTCATCGATAAACAAGATACAAGGAGCGTGTTTGCGTGCCATTGCGAACATGTCCCTCACCTTAAAACATCATACTTTAAATTAGCTGAAGGGATTTACAAAATTATATACAGTAGAACAGTTACACGTCACCCTTATAATAAGAATAATTTTCAAATACCCTTGATTTTGTATCACCCCAAATTACAAACCTCGATAGGAAGATTCCAAAGTGCTTAAGATCTTTGTGAAGTTCACAACACATCTTATAAGCTTTGTCAATTTGGGGCTTATCAGTCACAGAGGTCATTCTGGAGATTCCAAGAGTTTTGTATTATAGGCTACAAGAACTGTTTTAACTATTTTTATATCAAGAATCCTCTCAACATGTTGGACAGTGTTCAGATATGAACAAATATATTTCAAGAACCTTATTGGATATTCCAATATCCAATATCTTGGAATATCCTTATTTGGATATTCCAAGATGGGTAAACTGTGTTGATGGTTAAATAGGCATTAGTTATACAAGATTCTATTTGGAAATACTAATTGAATAACTATATAGAATAAGAAAACACAACAATTTTAAGACCAAATCAGGTACTTTTCAACATGTATTGTAAAGAAATGACTAGTTCAACGGCTGTTGATGGAATTCTCATTCAATCTTGTAAAACACTAATCAATATCCAGGTGCCTGAAACCGTTCTACACATTTCTCAAGCTAAACCTGAAAGGTCCCATCATCACATAGCTGAAGGCATTGATGATTGGCAGGATTTGAACCCGGGAGTTCAGCGATCAAAGCCTAGTTCTCTAACATCAGACCAAAACCTGCAAGTACAGTAAGCGCAGTATCATAAGATAAATATAAATTTGAAAACTTATAAAAATATAAATTAAAGGACATGTTAGAGGGATTTACATAAAAACACACTGACTCACCCTTGAAGGACCAACACCGACGAACATCTCGAGAAACTCAGATCCAGAGACTGTGATGAACGGAACGTTGGCTTCACCAGCTGTTGCTTTGGCGAGGAGGGTCTTACCAGTTCCGGGGGGTCCTATGGATCATTCACATATCAAAGTTCATAATAATACAGATGCATTGCACGATGTCCAAAATATAATTCTTGTGCTGTCTCACGACGTCCGATATAAAATATTTGAATGTTGCATGATGTCCAAAAAACTGCAATAAACATAGTAACTTATTTCTACAAGCTCTGCACGTCATGAGATTGGTCGTCGTGAAACAGCACATTTTACACTCCTACAAAAGTAGCAGTTGCACGACGTCCAATAGCTCAGCACTGGCCCAAGACGTCCAGACTCCAGAGCACCTGCACACTATGCATTTTTTTACTGACTGTATTATTAGTGCATACTAACCTAACCTAGCTCCTTATACAGGAGCTCTGGACTGGACGTCGTGCAATACTCCCCAATCTACAAGTGCTTTACATTTTTAATCTGAGAAACTACAATTATTAATTGAGGAGAGCTTCATTTTAAAAACACTAGGACGGCCACCTCTAAACCAAAAAAAGCAACGCAGGTTGTACACCAGAAATGGCATAATTAGCCATTGTCCATTTGACCTGGACATTGACCTTGGAGTGGGGGTGCGTCAGTTGATAGTGACTCAACGATCTGTTGTTATCTATAGTTAAAATTCTATCATATAAAACTTAGTTTTTCACTTAAAGTTTTTTAGTTGCTTATATTTTAACAACCTTTTTCAAACGTTTATGACAGGGTCTTGACTACTTTTGTGAAGTACCTATTGATTGTTTTTAAAACTATTTATCAACACAATTTTCACGGATCTGTAAACTTAAACAATTTTTTCATTAATAGGTAGAATAGTGATTATTAATAACAATTTATTTACAAAGCATCGTTAATAAGTTGTCATATTTACCTGTTAACATTGCCCCCTTTGGAATCTTGGCTCCTAGGTCAATATATTGTTGAGGATTTTTTAAGAAATTTACAAACTCCATGATTTCTACCTTTGCCTCCTCGCAACCAGCGACATCCCTGTAATTAAAATAAAACATTAAAAAGAGAAAAACTAAATTTAAAAATTAGCAAATTTGTTACAATGTTTTTTTCAAAGTGGCAAAAACACTTTAAGTTAGGTAGTAAAAAATAGTCAAAATCAAAATAGCCCATTGGCTTTTTCCACAAAAAATGTATACATGTAAATGCCCAAATAACAAAACATTTGTATTGTTTGGTAATTGGTCAAAAAGAGCAGATTTTTTGAAAATTTTTATTAATTTACTCCATCTATTCATTAATAAAACTAATACAACAACCTGAGATTAAAATATATTTTTTAAGGCCATTGTAAGGTAACCATATTAACAAAGAAAACCTTTACTCTGTGGATTTCTTTGATTTCTTCTACCTCCTGAAGAAACCCAGTAGAGGCAAAATATAAAATTACAGTGGAACCTCAATAAGAAGACCCTCGATAACAAGTGTATGTTCACTGTTCAGCCCCCTCATCCCCTCCATCTTGTAAGCCATAAAACGTTAGTTAGGACTTAAGAATTCAGCTAGCTTAAATGAGAAAATTATAGTCCAGGGGCTAATAGATACACAATAAAAGAACACAAAAAAAAAACTGATATTTCATCTTGACATATCATTTTCAAATAATAATAGGGGACATTAAGACTTTTCCAGATTAGTTCGTAGAATTCTTCTATTGTTTTTTGTCTCTTTTTATACGCATGCAGTAAATATATATTTACTATACAAATCAACTACATTGGTTATGATAATTCCGCATAAAAATATAGAAACTTATATTTTAAAGGAAAGCCAATGGCTACTAAGGAATTTTTTGAAAAGAAATAAGAGTTCGGCTAGCTTGTCTGGGAAAATTAGAGTCTACAGGCTTTATACAATAAAATAACACCAAACATAACACTGATATTTCATCCTGCTGTAGGGGCTTCTTCAGGTTAAAGAGAAATGCCAGATAATGTTCTAAACTTTCAGAGGTTGACAGCTGTGGCCAAAATGTTGGTAAGATTTCCAAGGTGAGGTGTCGTTTTCATAGCCTTACTACCCTTGGTTTATGCAGTATATTAAATTAGATAACAAAGTTCATGACTCTCACTTACTTAAACCTGACGCCTATATCGTTTGAGTTGATGAGTTTTGCCGTAGATTCCATAACACCCCCAAACAGTCCGCCTCCCTTGCGACCTCGACCTCCCATCATCTCAGCCGACCTCCTCATCATGTACAGCACAAAACCTGGACAGTTGTGAGACGATTAATGAAAAGTGCAGAAACATCGCTTCTGTCTCAAACTAATCAACTCTCAACTTTAAAAGTACATACAGGGTTTTTTTTAAAAACTTGCATCTTTATTTATGTAAAAACCGCAATAGATAGAAATATGCAGTTTGCGGGAATCATCTATTGACGTAGGGGGCCCAATTGTTTTTAATTCAACGTTACATTCACATTCCCCCCAACTTAATTTTTTTAAATAGCAAGGTACCCCTTGTGACATATCAAATAAAAGAGGATGAAAAAAGAAAATGTTTGATGAAAAAAAATTGAAAATCGGCTCATGAATTTGTGAGATAAACACCCCCTTTTCCCCTACCCATAACTTGTTTTTTAATAGCAAGGTACCCGCCCTTGTGACATATCAAATGAAAAATAAATTTCACCAAACATTTTCTTTTTTCATGCTCTTTCATTTGATATGTCACAAGGGGTACCTTGCTATTAAAAATAAAATAAAGTTCCGGGGAGGAGGGGGCAAAATATCTCGCAAATTTATGAACCGATTTTCAATTTTTTTCATCAAACATTTTCTTTTTTCATGCTCTTTCATTTGATATGTCACAAGGGGTACCTAAAAAAATTAAGTTGGGGGCAGGGGGGAAAGGGGGGGGAATGTGAATGTAACGTTGAATTCAAAACAATTGGGCCCCCTACGTCAATAGATGATTTCCGCAAACTGCATATTTCTATTGCGGTTTTTACATAAATAAAGATGCAAGTTTAAAAAAAAACACCCTGTATATAGATTAGGATCAAATTGTTGTGGGTTTAATAGTTTAACTAGGGATGGGTCGGTTGTTAAAGCCAGTTGGCGGTTTAACCAATTTTAGCAAAAATAACCAAAATCAAGAACTTTGATGGATAATGTTGGTTTAGGTTTAATGATTATTGCGCAATGCAATAAGTTGCATGACACCATTGCGATCACACAATTCTCCGCACAAAGAAGCTAGAGCTTGACCGGGATGCAGTCTAGGTCATAAAGAAATTGAATGCCAGAAACTGCACGAGCCCTGAGGGCTTAGGTCACTTGTTGGCCTGACTTGAAGTAATGTGACAAACAATCCCAGGTCTGTGTCCAACAGAGTAGAGGGGGTTGTTTAGTGAGTATTCTGACAAGCTCAGGAGTCTCACACTACAGGCTGGCTACCTGTGTGCATAAAAAAACAGTTTTACCTCCTCTCCCTTAAATAATAAAAAAAAAACATTGCGATCGAATATGATGATGTCTTTAAGGGGTCAATGATAATGTTTCTGTGATTGCAGAGGACAACGTTTCATGTAGACTGAAAATTTGATTTATTGTTAAAAACATTGGATTTGCATCATACATGCAAATAAACCTAGTTCAAAATTTATACCCTAAAGAAATTAAGTTTGTAAATTTGATAAACCTGTGTAGAGTTATTTACCTTGTACATCACGTTCACAATATTTTAACTCTGAACTCCCAGCAACATTAAAAGACAATACAAATTCTATTTGAATAATTAAATACTGAATAATAATAGCTGTCAGTAACCTTTCAATTCTGAGAAGGCGAGTGGTTATATTTCGTACTTGCTTTCAAATCTGAAGTCCGCTGGTTCAATTCCAAGCGAGCTCATTTCCAGATCCAGAAGCCATTTCATAAGACTTGGTTCAGGCCGTTCCCTAACAAAAAACACTAAAACCGCCAAAGGAGTACAAAAGTTCATTACCTATGATTATGATGGTTGGTAACATTCCTGACAAACTAGATGCTTCAATCTCACTCTTGTAGATGACAGGGACGTAATTGGCTGGTTCGATGTTCATTTCCATCTGTGCGTTTTCTAAATTTCTCTCAAATGAATCCACGCTGCCAATATTGAACCACAATATGCTCTGAAAGTTACAAAATCACATACAATTTATGTTTGCTTCATTGGAAATATTTTAAGTTAAAAAAGTGGAAAATTGAAGCTCTGAGAAAAGTTCTAACGGGTTAGTTTGTGTCAATCCAAAATAATATAATACTCACATTCCTCAGGGGTTGTCTATTTGTCTAAAACTTCAGATTAAAAAAATAAAAATTAACCTGCTAAGACAAGTAAACTTATATGTTGAGTACACTCTTGCCCTACTAGAGATTCATATGATTAGGTTTATGAAATAGGCCTATCGTATTTTACGTAAAAGTACAGTTATGCTAGATAAACTCAATTAATTAATTTTGTTAACTCTCAATCACAGCTGTACAATTTAGGCCTATAACTTGTTAGGTACCCCATAACCTAATGGTGGGCCTACAGAGTTAAAAACATGTGGGTTTCTTCCTAAAACTGCCTGTCACAAACATTTTTTAATAGCTTTTTATACAAAAATACTACTGCAGTACACCTTTCTTTGAACCAGCAAAGCTGAGAAGGCTATTTGCAGCCGAAGTTGTTTAGTCAAAGGTGACAGTCTACTGTTCTGCAGTCTTCTCCATTATGACGACTTTAAAATTAAAAGCAGTGCTCGATTTGCGGGGGGAAGTGCTTGCAGCGTTGGATTTTTGAATGTGAATAATCCTGAACCTTTGAAACTGTCACCTTATTCTACAGCTGATATTTTAGACATACTCAGTACTCACACTGCCATTGACGTTATTCCCAGCAAGCAGTTTAACTCGGACCCACTTCTTATTGACAACCTCCAGCTTTTCCACAATCCCCCGAGAAAGATAACTAAAACAATCCAAATGGACAAATGTATTTTTTTTTATTTTAAAGGTAGACACTTGGCTATATTTTTTTTATATATTGGACATACAAAACGCAGCCGCTTATTATTCTGATCTGATTACTGTTTTTTTGTGGAAGATTTTATCTAAAAGAGAAACGAAGAAGATTTTTTATGGTGGTGAAATCTATTCTAGCCCACACTAGAACAACAATTAGATGTTTTTATAAAAAAATAAGAATTGTTTTTGTGGACCTAGTTTCAAGAATAATAGGTAATCAATATGTTACCTAAATGGTTACAATCAAGAAAACAGGCAAACAAAGATATTGTTTATTCTACCAAAAATTGTGTATGAGTTTTGAGTGTAGATAATCTGTTCTGGAATAAAACATATCTAAAAACTTGTTACATTAAATGTAAAATATTCCAAATGTTTATAAGCATTTGGAGGAATTATGTCCACAAGAATAGCCTTGTTGATGATCTATGGGAATTTCATAAATACCTACCTATCTCGTTCCTAATAAAAATGGAAGCTACAATTTGTAAAGTGTGAATTTTGTATTTGTAGGTGATAGGCTATAGGCTTACACTTGTGTTACTGTGCATCCACTTTCACATTATAGGCTATGGTAAAAACATATAGGTACTCACTTGTTTACAAATTCCTTCCATGCTATCTCCGTGTATCCCATTTCGTAATAGGCCAAAATTCCGACCACTCCAAGAACGCCCAAGGTTCCAAACAGTATCCATTTTTCCTTCTCGCCTCCCTCTCCAAAAGGTTTGCCTCCCCCCGTGCCGCCCCTGCAAGAATTTTAGAATTACAGTATTACTTAAACAAAAAATATGAACAAAGGTTGTAAAATGTAAAAACAGTTTGAACATGTAATTTAATAAATATGCTGACCAACGGTTTTTAAGTGGCCTACTAAAAATTTACCCATCATTAAGATAAATTACTGTATTAGCCACACTACAGAGGACAGCTTATACAAGCAATTAACACGTTCACTGTGGATGACGAGTAATCTCGTCACCGCTAGCCTTTTCCAGTAGCGCACGACGAGTATAAGCACTGTTTACAAACTATTGTTCCAGTGTGGAGTTAGCCACGGCCGTGAGACGTTGTTTCGCTCGCCGTTTGTTCTGCCAGTTTTATACTTTAAAAAATATTGCAGTCTGGGGTTAAGGCTTCGATCAAATGACTTGTAATAGAATAATGATAATGAATGTACCGTAGCATTGTGGAAGGATCCTAACCTCAAAATTGAGCTTGACCGCAATTTGGCGGTATTTTTTTATGGTGTATACGAGTACTTAACCCCTGCTTTTTCCCTCCATTTGGCAATACTGAGGGCCGGCTAGCAGTATTGTTTAATGCTGCTATCTGATGAGTTCTTATAAAACTACTTCCACAACAACTTGGACGCAGTATGTGCCTCTCATTTGGATGAAACTAAATTTAAACGTTTTCACCCACTCATCCACGCAACACATTAGCTGTTTGCGTTACCAACAGTGGCCGGCCTTCGCGCAGCCGCATTGAAGAAGAGTTTCTATAGCAGATTATTATAAATGTCATTGAAAGAGTTACGCCTACATGCAATTGTCAAAGTGTAGTCATGTCCATAGTGCAAGAAAAATAACAATTACCTACTCTGTCTTTATACAAATCTGTAAATTTTATAGTCAAATACCTTTTGTATGTTGAATAATATGCCTGGATATTTATGGTTAATAATTTAAACAATCGACTTATCTTCAACACAAAGTTTTTTGAGTGTCTAAAGTGAGGTCCAAAAATGTTTACTAAAATACCACTCTACAAATAATAATATTTATAACAATCCAATACTACTAATACACAACAAATGTTATCCTACCAATAATTTGTGCAGGAAATGCAAAACTTTAACTCTAAAGCTAACTTAAAACAAGAAATGTTTATTTGATCATAGATACTTATATATCAACAGATAAACCATCTTGTAGGATTATTAACTGGAAGTGTAAACAATTTTGTAAAAACTTACTTTTTCTTTCTATATTTCATACGAACAGACATTTATCAAACTGATGTAATAGCCAATTAATAAATAAACAGGTAATATAACACTAGGCCTAAAATTAATTATAGGTTAAAGTAAACAAACAATTTATGTAAATAACAGCTAATTGTAATTAATTCACCTAAACTGTGTGAATAAATCACCTGGTAAAATTTAATGTAGAGAATCTAATGAATAATAATTGTATGCCATTGGTTAAGTTATTGATAGAAATTTCAAAACATGTAATTTGAAAAAAAAGGAATTTTGGTGAAAAAAATTTTGAGTTTATTCTTAATCTGACCATTTACAGGTAATCGATTAATACTAGGTTGATGTGAAAACCAAGATAAATTTTGAAGTATGTGTTGGTTGAATTTAAACTTGTACTAAGCTTAGGCAGTTCTGTAGCAATGATTTAACAGTAGCTGGAATAGATGTACGGCTTTGATAGGCCTAATGTTATCAGAACATGTGGAATGCAATGTTTTTATTGTCTATTGAATAGAACAGTGAAAACAACAAAGGAAATATTCTGCTTATAAGCACTGGTCTGCTGTGGTTTATGTATAGCTCTGTTCTAGGTATCATGACAAGAATAACTTGGGTATTCATCAAGAGTTCAGCCCAAATATGAATGAAAGGATGGATGTGACACCTTATATAGTTTTAATACAGAAATAATCAGCTGTTTCTTAGGGCCGTTTATTAAAAACTCAATTATAAAAAAGACAGCTGGGCAGAATTTTAAATCATCAAAATCAATTACTATACAGTATAAGCTAAGTTATCACTTAATTTGCTCATGTATGTGTATACATCCATTCGAATTCAATTATAGTTCGGCCGCTTAGAAAGCGACCTCCTTCAGCATTGGTTTAGCATTAGCGCGCAGGTCGTTTTCTAAGCGGCCGACCTATAGCTTGTATTTTTTTAGATGTAAAGATTGAGAAATCAATAAAAAATCTTTGGCGTCAGGCTACTTATCAATTGGCTTTACTATTTATTCAGTAGACAAATTTACAAAATCTACTGGAGTCAGCAATTTTTTTTAAAGAGTAGGCCCCTTCCACGCCAACTTTTTTAAAAATTAAAATTTATTTGATGTTTTGTTTTTCTGCTTAATAATTAATAAGTATCTGCATAATATATATGAATCTTGAGTTTGATTTTTTAGAGTGTGTCTATGAATGTTATTGTTTATATTCACTGCTATTTACGGTGCTATATTCTACAGTTAAAAGAAGGGCAGTAAAAAATAAAAAAGAGGGTAATTGAGATTTTCAAAATCATATATTAGGTAGTACTTGAGCCAGGTTTACCAAACCATAAGTAACTCTTAAGCAAGGTGTGAAAATGTAAATTTTGTCTTGTTTGCTGATTTTAAAATAATTAGCAAATTTCTCATACAGGGAGAAAGTTATTACCGCAGGTCTCATGGTAAGAACTACATGTAATGTCAACTTTTGCATTGTTAATTCTAAGAAACCTTTGTTTTTCAATACCACCTGTATTGACACTATTTATGTATGTATTGTATACTACTAACAAATAAAGATTATTTGAATTTGAATTGGAATCAGTGAACAGTACCCTAACAATTTTTTTCAAGTACAAAGGGAAGTTGCATGAGAAACTGTGACTTACGATTTTGGTTCTGGCGAAGAAGTGTGTGATTTGATGTTTAGTGACAATGTCGACTCAGGTCATTACAGCGTTATAAAACTTTATCATATTCCCCAGGGTGTGAAAAGTACAAAAAGAAAGAATGAGACGTTTAGAAAAGTAGTTAGTGAAATAGGAAAAACCATCAGGGATACATAGGCTTTTAAATTTAAAAAAAGAAACAAACAAAACTAAGAAAGAAAACAAATTAAAACTTGCCCATAAAGAGAAAGGTTAGAGCGAATATCAATGATCCCCATCACTCAGGGCGGTATGGGGAAGGGAGTCGTGCTGTTAGGCTTTTGGACACAAAATGTGTCTGGAAACCTAATGCGGCTATGAGTAAGCTATTTGCAGAAAACACTATTTACAAGAAATGTTGATTATATCGATCTGTTATACACATCTTGAGTATTTCCATAATCTTTGAGTCGAATCTTTTAAAGTCATCAGAAATTATGACTGTTATTCGTTTTAAAATAACGCCTGTAATACTCAGCAATTGCTCGAATTCGAGCAACAGGTACACTAGTAAACATTATACTAGTAGTCTATACATAATTTTAAGATCCGGGACTTCTTTTACCATCTGATTGGACCGGTAATACCCTCAAACATTGAACCAAAGTATGCCCAACTTTATACGACGTAAACACAGCTGTTACTCACAGAATGGGTCAAATATCCAAAAAATTCAACCAACTGCTGATGTGTGATTTAAGTGACTATCTTTATTCCACACTACAAATGTAATGAAAAAAAAAAAAAAAACCACAAATGTAGGAATATACATAAACAAATTATCTCCACCATAGCATAAGTAGTTTATTTGGTTACCAGCATTGCGCAGTTTGTATACTATTTGTTTTTCAAACAAAACTCGAATTAATATAAAACATTCATTTGGTTAAACTAATATATCGGTTTGATCGGTTTTTCTATTTCATGTAAAAAAATCAAGCAGTCCCTAAATAAAATACAAAGATAAACAGTATTTGTTAATTATTATGCCTTTTATTGCTGACAATATTCCCGTGGCGGAGCACGGGCTGTTAAATAGTTCATACAATTATTCTACACATTGCTCATGTTATTCTGGAAAGCTTCGGAAACTTCTAAGTTTTATCTGGTATGATGATTACATTCAACCCTCTATTCTGCCAAGGCTGCGGCTCCATTGGCCGTAGATTGTCACGCTCAAATTGTAGCTGGTATGTTAAAGAAATGGGCCAGTGATCAAACGAAGCTGGCTCCACTAGCGAGTCTGCCGCACGCTACATTTTATGCTGCGCCCTAGAATTAGCACCACAGAAATGGATCCCAGCCTATTTTTGCGCCACATTTTGCAGCCAGCAGGTGGCTTCACTAGCTGTACATTGTAGTGTCATGTCAAGCCGTCAAGTCAGTGAACGGCCGGCCAGCATACAGGCACTAGATACATTTACACTACATTCAGTATAGACTTTTTTGTCTCCTGAGTTGAGTTTTGTCTATTATTTTATAAACGATGGAGCCAGAACTTAATTGTGAAGTTATTATATTAGTAGTTGAGAAACAACCCATTTTATTCAAGAAAACAAAAATAGCCAACAAAGAACAGAAGAGAATTACAAAAACAGGAACGCTAGGATTAAAGCCTAGAAAAAAAATTACCGTAATGTCAATGAAAGCTTTCCTCTAGGCCTACTGCTTCTAGTAAGTAATCAAAAGAGTTTGAGACATTTTATACCCTAATAATCGTAATATAAAAAATAACTTGTCTGGATATTTTCTTAGTTTGGTATGGAGTGTGTGGAACATCCCTTCAGACTTCTGTTACTTATTATTGGATGGATCCACCATTTTCTCTTTTGTGACCGACGTTGTCTATAAACTAAAAAAGCACAGAGAAAAACACTGCAAATTAATTTGCGGCATGATAGATCCAGGGCCATCCCTATAGAGGTGCTAACTAAACTGCTAGTGGAGCCACGACGTAAGCGACGTTGCTGCAGATTGTCGTTCGTACTCTGCTGCTAGTGGAGCCACCAACTGTCGCGTGTAGCGCGCTACAATTTGCAGCACAACAATCTACAGCCAGTGGAGATGCAGCCTAAGGCTATCACCCCAAGAAGTAGCCAATTTTTAGGTAGCTGCCCTTAAAAGTGGGAACAGCTACTTGGAGCATGATGTTTTTATTACGTTAATTATTAAAATGTCATGGCCCTTGCACATTATTTGTTACCATTCCAAAAAGAATTTCACCAAACCCCTGATTATCTTAGTTGTGTAACTAAACTATTGATTCTTTATATTATAACACCGGTTGTAGTCGCCGTTGTTGGCTATTTTTAGTAATGATTTGTTGAAAAGGTTTAATGAAAATATACTGTATTATTTTATCACTGTGTTTTCTATGCCAGTGAGTCCAATAAGTGTTTTTACAGTAAGTGCACCAAGTATTTGACTGTTCCTTTTCTTGAGTATTGACTGAGCCATAAATCTGCCACTAGGCCTACCAATGAAAGACCCAGGAAAATATATAATACAAATGTTACTGAAGATTTAAAAAACCTAAAACTGTTGGGACCTATTACTTCCACAAATTAGCATAAAATAAAAACTAGCAGAAAAGCAAGTAAATTATTAAAAAAACGTATTCTTTCAACAGGTGGTTCAAAAAACCTGTAATGAAAAATGCAATTAAATCATATAGATATGTAGGCATACCTTTTATATCCCTGTCTCTTCTTCCAAAAATAATAGAGGTATTCAAATAAACATAAAAACAACTGAATTATCAATCCTACAAGGAGACGTTTGAAGAACATGGCTGCACGTTCTAAACAAACTGTTGGAATCTACTGCTAGAGACAAACCGTTGGAATCCACTGCTCAGCATTTCCTGTGAGTCAGCCGGTTCTCAGAAGTGACTACGCCCTGACACAGTGCTACCAACTAGAAACTAATCTGATGTGTATACTATAACTAGTGTATTGGGCATTTTTTACTATAAATAATATGAATATTAAATTTTGTATGGCGTGAAACTATATACAAATGTACTTTTGAAAATAAAGTAGATCTAGATGATGAAGTAGTTTTAATGAGAATTATTCGAGGAATAGATGTTCAATGATTTCTTGAGCAACAGTGTAATGAAGTAATCTATGACACAATACCATTACAATATAGCTTTATAGAGTTTTAAGAGATTTGAACTATTTTACAATTTACCCACTGTATTAATTAATATCTATCCATCTATAAATTTAACACAGTAAGGGTTTTCTCAGTTACATAACTTTTTCATTCGTCCTATTTAACAAATTTTTTGAGTGAGTTGTCATTTTAAAGCTTATGGTCTAGCGCACCTGCCTATAGTAATTAAAAAAAAATAATTTCCATTAGGGACTCTTACAATTAATTTATTTCTAGAGTCCATTTTTAAAGATCCAGTTATGCTGACCAACTTTCTTTTAACGGTTTAAATGTGAATTGTAATTTAACAGCTGCCTTGAGTTAAATGTTAATCACTGTCAGATTGTAAACAAGAGACTAAACAGTTTATGAAAATGAATTTTATATCGGCTACATTTTGACAAACTGTGACCTGATAAGAGGTATATAAATCACTCTTAATAGTGTAGATCTCAAATCGCCAAATTTATTGTAAATTAGCAGATCTAGGCCTATTCACCTAATAACTTTTTTAAACAAGCACAATCTTGGCATACATGCGTTAGTCGTCACCAAGACGTCTCGAGAAAATCGGAGTTAGATGCCGCGCACACACCAAAAACTCGCTGGAGGGACTGGCCACGGGTAGTCATTACTCAGTAGTGCGGTAGCAGCTCTGGGGTCGACGTCTCCGTTCCGATGAGTATCATTAGTAGTCGATAAAATAATAGGGGTTGGGGAAGTGTAGACTAGGGCAATGTGTAGTTAATTAATTATGTAGAATTTTAAGTTTGCCAAGTCTGTTGTGGTCCAGTTTACCATGATTATTATTTGAATTCACGCTAGCTACTTGTAGATATAATACTCGCATTTGGCTCGCTGGGCAAAGGCCCCCTTTTTCGGTTGGGGGATTGTTTGAACTCTCCTCGGAGAAAATCTCCAATCATATAGTTAAATCTCTGTTCGCTATTTATTAATTATATGCAATAAAACATAAAAGCTGGCTGTGAAATGCAGCTAAGGTGTTAATATGCACTTTTGGCGATATTAGACCTATTAGGTTTGTTGAAAGATTCAAGAAGCGACTTGAAAAGTCAGCTGTTTCATTGAGGTCACAGCTGATAAGGATTGGACGACTAGATTCCACTGACCACCGGCAGTCTAGACTATACCTTCGCCGGGGATGAGTCGTAGCAATAATTTCGGCCGTGTCTTCAATGCTAAATGTCCGTGTTTTGTGTTTGTGACTACAATGTGTGCATGTTTTTTACGCCTTTTGACGACCTTCGCAAGAAGAGAAAAAATGTTTTGACATCCTGATTGGCCTGATGAAGATCTCTATTGTGGATTGAAACCGGTTGCCGTGAGCAACATTGTGGATAACTTTTATGCAGGTATTTAAACCACTTTATTGAAATATTGGTTATCCGGAGGCTAAATCACAATGAAAAGACAAAAAGTATACTCTGCCTGTTTTCATCCACATTCTATTTAATTTGGCTCGTTGGTACTTTGGTATCTTTAGGCCACCCTTATACAGCGCGCTGTGGCGGTCATGTTAGGTTGGGTTATCATAAATATGTTTGTAGGACTTTCCTCATTTCATTATGAATCAAACAATACCAGATGAGTCATACGCTCGCCAAAACCCCCTCCAAGTAGGCCAAGATGAGGATGTTGACCGGAGCGCGCGCCTCACCTGTCTGTATCTGGTGTGGCAGCTAGAGGCGGTGACGCATTCTACACAATCCTCGCTGACATCGCTGCCTTCTGGGAGGCAGAACTCAAAGGCCGCCTAATCATGTCAAAATTGGACAGTAAGTAAATTAAACCTATATTCTTTCCATTTATGATAACCCAACCTAACATAACCCCCGCAGCGCACTGTATAAGGGTGGCTTCCGGATAATACCAAAGTACTGGCTCGTTAAATTGTAAATTAAGATTCATTTAACTAAAAAGTTAGACACATTTTTCTACAGCAAATGTGTATTCAGCCAACAAATCATTTTGTTGAAACCCCACAACACAACAACATGCAAATCTATTGAAAAATAAAACTTTCACTCTGGTTGTTTTTCTTTTAGGTACCTAAAAGTACTTACTTAGGACCACCACCAAATACACCAAACGGCCATTCCCCTGGTCGGTTAGGCCCCGGTCTTGATGACTGGCCTGCAGAAGATTTCGAAGGTGGGGCTTCTTGAACTCCTTCTTTCACTCCACTCTCACTTTTAGGGACTTCCTTTTTTGGAGCTCCTCCTGGTTTGAAATATTTTTCAAATCCCTTTGGCGGTTTCTGACAGTAAAGGCGAAACTGACGTAAAACCGACAGTATAAATGGGGAACTAGAACCTTGCAATAGCATCCATCCACGTCTCAACTGAAAAATTTACAGATTTTTAAAACTGGAGCATGGGGTGGAGACAATAGAGTAGCCTACACAAACATCTATTTAAGCATTAAAAAATTGTATAGCCTAATGTTTAAATAGTTCCCGGTCTTATATTCTGACCACTAAAACTAATGTATCAACCTGATATGTAGGCCGATAAACCGACCTTAAACCACAGTTGAAAGTCAAATTGTTTATAAAGAAATATTTATAATTTAAAGAAAAATTTATAATTTGATCTATTCTATCTGATTGCGTAGGTGGTAAGAACCAAATATATTATTATAAAATAATTAACCTAAATTGTTATTTTATAATTTTCTAAGTTACCGGTATATCTAACTTATCAGCTTGTTCCACCTTGCCACACCCAAATTATTGCCTAGGTGAAATATTGAAGACTCTACTGTGTACGGAATCAGTTTATACCTATTAAGCCTAGAGGTAACTTACAGGTAGGCCTAAGCTACTTTATTTTAAGTACCTCTTAACTTATGTTCATTGTTGCACCTGTGATCTAGGCCCTAACCATTAGCTATTTTTAATTGTAGGCTAATGTTGAATTAGTGGAGCCTCTTCCTCTGCAAGTACCTAAGTTGCAGGACGTTAAACAGTTTATTTTAATTAACTACTTCACAACAAACAAATGCTTATTTTTTAGTTAAGTTTACTTGGTAGCAATTTTTATTTTTATTTTTTTTCCTTTTTCTACATGGATTCCTTGGTCATCAATACAGTATTGTTATTTTGAGAGAAACTACTGTGCTAACAGGGTGTATAGTTTCCTGTTGTGACAAGATTGAATCCATCCCTTCAAATTATAGCTTAGACTGTTTTGCTAACAAAACTTTGAATTACTGTGTGTTTTTTAAATCAGCCTGCTCTCTGCTTGGACTTCGAATTAAGTTAGGCTAGGCTTAACAGTAAAATTTCAAAATATAGTAGCCTGTTAACCCATTGGAGACTTGGTTTAGAGTTCAATAGCATAGCCTTTAGAATCCATTAAAAAATGGTTACCGGTAATCTGCAGTGTTTCGGTAAAAAATTCATAAAAAATTGACTTTTTAACTTAAATAGATAAAAGTTGTACCATATGTAAATTTGTAATACAAATTAATTTTCCTTTTGTAATAAACATGTTCAAGTATTTTTTTAACCTTTCAAAAAGAAAATAAATAAATACATATTTTTCAAAAGCAATGCCAAAGAATTTAGTATAAACATTTGTTTTTACTATTTCTTGCTTTTATTCCCTTACTTTATATTCAATTCACCCTACTTACATAAAAAATTTTTATTTAAGTTATAAGTATATATAGCCTACCTATCTACAATAGTCTATGTTTTACAGCTATTTATGTAAAACACTGTCTACCCTCTCATCATTACTGACCTACACCGCCCAATTCGCCGTCACTTTCACTGTCATTTTCGCACAAAAGGCCACCGACACACAGGAAGACTTTTTTTCAACTGAAATCGGAAACTAGTTGGACAAACTAGTTGCATGTGTCCCGACCAAAGTAGTTAGGTTGGACAGTGCACACAATGTGACTGCGATGCGACCAGTTCAGGACTAGTTGGCGATCAGTTGTTAAGCAACCGGACCTGCCGGTTCGAAGGTGATTTTAGTTGCCTGATTTGAACAACTTTTTGCATATTGCTCTTTTCAATGATCAGGTATACCAACTGTGATAACTCCTTGTAAGTACTTTTTGACATCCTGTATATAGGCTGAAATTTTGCATCTGTTTCTTGTAATGCAGCAGCAGCTACAAAGAGCCTGCATTGAATATTTGTTTTAACATAAGGAGGTAATTATTCCGTACAGGTGCCTCCAAACGAATTTTTAATTTTGACATCTCACTTTATAGTTTTTTACCTCCTGAATCCAAATATACCATTAATTTTCACCGCTGATGAATATTTCTCAAGATATCGCCGTAAAAACATACTTAACATTACAATAAACAAGGTAGGATGGATGACGTTACAAGTGGAATGTACTACTATGGGATAGGTTAAGTAAACCAACCAGCTGATTGTTTTCAATCATGGTCAAGCAAATGGAAGTGACAATTTTTATTAGCTAACTCGATTCTGCAATATGAAAATCACCTGATTAAGTTACACTTTTCACTTTCTAAGACCAATAAGTTAAAAATGTATTATTGTTACCAGTATTTTATCCTTATTAATGATTTATTGATTTATATTTCGCCGTTTAGAAATTAAACATTAAAATAGTGCTATTCTAACATAACCTAACCTAACCAAACCTCTAGAATGTGTAAGCAAACTCCTTTTGATGTCAGAAAAGGCATGTCAGGGTGATAGGTCGTGCTTTATGTGAATTGGTGACTGCATTAAGTCCTTTGAAGGTAGGTTAGATTAGGTAAGTTAAAGTTTAGGTTATAATATATCGAGTTGTTAGTTTATGTCGTCTGCAGACTGTTTTTGTAAAATTAAAATCCTGAGAAAAACACTTCAAATTACTATTTCAAAAATGCTTGCAAGCATTTTTGAAATAGTAATTTGAAGTGTAAGCATTTTTGAAATAGTAATTTGAAGTGTTTTTCTCAGGATTTTAATTTTACAAAAACAGTCTGCAGACGACATAAACTAACAACTCGATACATTATAACCTAAACTTTACCTTCCTAATCTAACCTAACTTCAAAACACTTAATGCAGTCACCAATTCACATATAGCACGACCTACCACCCTGACATGCCTAAATTAGAACTACGAGTAATTAGTCCATTATTCCATCTATATCTCCATAATGTGTCGAAATTCCTATTGTAGTAAACATTAAGTTATTGACTATAGAATCACTTGATATGTTTCTACAAAGTTAAAGCACGGCCGCCTGCGGCCGTGGTTAAAGGCGGCCGTGTCTACAACGATGTTATTATCTTTAGTCAACGATGGTATTCTTCTCATCAACCATGTTACTCTCTTCACTTAACTTAATCTGAACTTGTGATGGCGACGGCGTAGCACAGAAGCAGACAGAATAACACTTAGCTAGCACTACGCAACACGTATGAGTAGGTACGAATGAGTATTTTGTTTTGTATTTTATTTGTAGTGAAGTAAAATGTCGTCAATAGGCATATTGCCGGTGACAGAATCAGAGTGAGTTAATGAAGTTCAAAAGTTGTTACTTCCAGTTGTTCTTGTGTGTGGTTGAAAACAATCAGCTGTAAGAGTTAACTTACAGTTCATTCCAATTCCACTTGTAAATGTCATCCATCCTATCTTGTTTATTGTAATGTTAGGTATGTTTTTACGGCGATATCTTGAGAAATATTCATCAGCGGGGAAAATTAATGGTATATTTGGATTCAGGAGGTAAAAAACTATAAAGTAAGATATCAAAATTAAAAATTCGTTTGGAGGCACCTGTACGGAATAAATACCCATAAGGATGTACCCAATACCTTCTACGTCCTCTACGCTTTCTTAATTGTTTATAAAACACCAGGGCTTCTTCATCACTACTACCGTACTCATTTCAAAAACACCATACACAGTACACAGTATCGTTATAACAAAGTTAGAACTCATTCTCTGTCTCAACTCAACTACAGTCGTGCCCGTGTGCGGATTCAACCAACGCAACTGCAATCGAGTCAAAAAACAGTTGGCTTTCAGTCTTCCCGTGTGTCGACCGCCTAAGTCTGTCAATCTCACTCGAGAATATGCGATCAAATTAGTTTGTATGGCTCCCCATTTATAAAACATAATAATAAACCCGTGACTACGTTCAAGTTATAATGACTTATCACCACTGAAAGTACGAACACAAAACAAACACAAATGTCTGAACATCAAGTATGTAAACAATCACATCACATCTGTTGCACTATATTGTCAACCGTACAAATGAAAATAATATCCCTTGTCAATGTCTAATATATTACAGAGAGAATAAAAAAAAAAAACAATTATATAGGCTACTTAATAAAACTGTAGACTTATATTAACTTATAACAAATAACAGACATCAGCTGTTACGTAATAACAACTTTCAATGACGTAGGTTATATTTTTACACATTTTGTTAGTTGTTTTCTACTTATTACTTTTAGTTTTGTTCTTAAATAATCATTTTTTATTTAAGTACCGTACACTAACTTAACTCTTTAGAAACTTTTCAATAGGCTACCTATTACATAAAACGTCTAGTAACTATGCAACAATTAATTTTTTTTTTTTTACCAATAATAATGCTATGTCCTCATCAGAGAACGGTTGCGTGATAAGGTTTTTGGGCCTGTTCAACCGATCACGGAACCATTTTACTCTATGGACTGAGCTTTTATTTGTGAATTATTAAAGTTTTGATTTATAGAGTGTTTAAACTTAAATTGCCAAGAGTTTACTGAACTGGTAAGATGCTTACTGGCCTAAGCCTAACTAAAATAAGTTAACACGTTCGCTGCTGAGCGCTAGATGCCGGGACGGCGCCAGTTGCTGAACTAACGCTCGGCCGCTGCGTGACATTGCCACCGATACACTGAATTACAATAAAAACAACAGTAGTTATACTGGATGGCAATGTTCTGCAATAAAACTGGCTTTGGACATAGTACTAAGTGATTCTGATAGATAGCAGCACTACCCAGGTTACAGTCGTTAAAGTAGTGTCGCTATCTAGCAGGAAAGAGGTAAAACAAAGCCCTGTTCCAAACGACCCTGGTGGTGATTTGGGAAACTATATTTTTTATTGTCAGAAAAGTACGTCCCCACGAGCTGCAAAGAAATATAGAACGCTTGTGACGTGCTGGCTTATCCATAGCAACGTTAAACAACAATGAACGGTGACGTTCTGGAACGTTCTTAGCTCCTGGCGCCGCGGCCCGGCTGACGTTCCGGAACGTCCGTAGCAGCGAACGTGTTAAATACCGGTAGGCCTACAGTAACTTAACTTAGCTTAGATTATGGATTCAAATTTAAGTAGAATTGAATTGTTTAACTTAAACTTACTGTTCTTCTGATTGTAAAAGTTTCACTACTCCTACAAGAAATTTGTCATTCTAAGTGCCCTTCAATTTATTTGGATTACTTACCTTACACAACGTAAGTAAAATGGCAATTCAATGTAGCCTACTGTTGCATCACTTGCAACATCAATAACTTAAACCTCTCCACTGTAATTTGATTCACAAAATAAATAAACTTAACAAACAAAACAATACCATATAAATAAACTTGTATAATGTAGTAAAATCTTAAATTAAAAAAATAAAATATTTGACAAACCTAAATTACATAACCTTAATTTACACTTACATCTATCCGGTTGATGGTACCATGTCTAGTCCCACCATAATTTAAAAGTTTGAGTTTCTGAGCCGTCAATAAAAGCCTCTGAGCCATATTATAAGTTATTTTAAAATATCTTAAATCCAAATCACATAATATAAGACCTACACAAATTGAAAAGACGGTGTTTATGTAAATCGGGAAAAATAAAATTTATTTAGAAAATAGATTGAAAAAAATACTGTGTCCTGTCCTGTGTCTCTATTTGGCAATAGTCGGAACTAAACTGAGTGAGACTGAGGAGGGGAGTGGCGCGAGCGCGAACAGTGAGAGAGCAATATCACGGCCACCTTCAGGCCGCGGCCTGGTAGAATTAATTGGCAACGTCGCAAGTGGTGTTGTTTAGTGACAGATGTCCCATAAGATAACATGGCAGACAGGTGACATCAGCTCATTAATTCACACATTATTGATTTAAATTTATTTATTATTTTTATTTTTTTACTTTACAATCTGTTCTATTATATATTGAACAATAGGTAAATTATGGTAAATGCTATGGAATACGAAAAATTGACTTTGGAACATTAAAAATAGTTGTTAAGCACTCTCAACAACAAATTTTTCAATAAAAACACTTTACAAAAATCTGAAGGGCAGGTCCAGAATTGATGGCCTCTTAAGTCTGTAAATTGTATCCATGTTGTTTAATAAGTTAAGAGTTAAATGATTTTGATGAGATTCCAATTTCGTAATATATCGTTCACTTATGGTCATGATTTCGTCCTTAACTGTAGGCATCTTAAGGTCTTGATGTAGTGTTCTATTGCTGACATACCATGGTGCATTTGTTATCTTCCTCATCATTGTCGATTGGTATCTTTGGAGAATTTCTTAGAAGTACTCGCCGAGCCCCATAGTTGCACTCCATATGTCCAGATTGGTTTCAATTTATGAACATAGATTTATTAAAATATTGAAAATTGGAGGTTGCTTGTTAGAATACCAGAGTAATTGTACCAAAGTTGTGGTGAATTGTAACGAAGTATAATTCACCGTAGATTAAATAATAATACCAGCCCTTAAAATGTGAAACCGTACTTGTAATGGGATACGTTTTATGATTTATTTATTTATTCACGGTAACACCATTTATACAATAGTAGATGGTGCCTTTGTTTGTTTTTTATTTTTAATATTCAATTTTTTGTTGGGTAATACTTATCTATGGTAATACTAAACGTATACTACCATACTACTTATGTTCTATTGCAATGTTTTACCTTATCTACCAAAATTTTAAGCACTTTTTATCTTTGGCACTTTTGGGGTAAACGACTATTTCACCATGCAAATCGTGATTGAACATTGGTAAATGGTTTTTGAGGCTTAAAATTTTCTTTTTTTACTTTTAATGTGTTTTTCTGGTTATATTTCCTCCTAACTTCTTTCAACATGACACATTTTTTAATATTATATTACTTGTGCATGTCTACGTTTTTTCTTTACATTCAGGATTTTCATTCCTCTATGGTTGATTCTAATGTCAAGTCAATTTGATCATAAGCAGAAGTGTAGTGAGTGACTAGTGTAGTGAGTGATTTTGGAACACAAAATGTCAGTTGTCGCTGTTGTCAGTTTGTTTGTTTGTTATTTTCTTGTACTGTTACTGTCAATACTCAGTTTGTAGTAGCTTACTAGCGGTTTTGTTCATTAATAAGGGATTTCTGCGTGTTTTCGTCCATATCCTTTATTACATGCATAGTTAAGGTTAGTCTTGAACTTGCAGTTAGTTACAAAGCAGCTCGAATGTTATTGAAATGTGGTCTTAGTGCATTAGGCCAACTTTAAGGTTAGGATAGTTAAAATGTCTGCAAATAACTTCAACAGTCAAGAAAAAGGAAATTACAGTGCATCTGAACAAAGAAGAAATCCTGAAGACCACACCATAGCCACAAGAGTGTTAGAAAATGTCACCGGTGATCAAAACGCACAAAATCAAACACTTCTTCCAGGCCACCAAACTCCAGTATCAAATTCAATTTTGAGCTACCAGAATACATCGTTTGGAGGCTTGTACAGTAGCTCGGGATTCAATAATTCTTTGGCAAGCTACGAAAGCAATCTTCAGTGGCTATCAGATGGTAGAATTCAAAACCAACATACTCAGCTTTTACCAGACAAAAATGTTACCACATCAACCCACACACTTCCTTCGACTTCACATTCTTGCTGTGTTAATAGATTCAGCATGATTGATTCTTTGGGCATGGCCTCCCCAGTGCCTCATGATCAAATGAAGACCGCATGTGATGTTTCTAGCTATCAAAATAAATCAGCTCTCACAATGAACATGATGGACCCGATTCAAAGCTGGCTCAACCTCCCTATAGCATCACAGATCCCCAGTAATCAGCAATATTGCAAGTATAGTGAACGATCAGTTCCAATGTCTCAAAATTACAACATACCCATTTCCACAGCCTCTCAATTATCAGCAGCGACACAAATTTGCCTTCCAGGTTTAGGTCTAGATCAATCAGATTTAAAGCAGAGTGATATTTGTATTCAAAGCCCAGATAGTGGTACTTGTTTTGATAGCATTAACAATCCCAATAACAAACCAGTTGAGGGAAATGCAAAACCAAATACTTATATGACGGCAACTAAACAAGGTACAGTGCAGGATGAGAATAATTTAGTTTCTAAACAAAGTTTGTATCCATCGAATAATATGATGACAAAAGACTGGAAATCTCAGTTCCAAAATTATATGTCAAGTCCTAACATGTTCAATACAATGAATGAATCCCAAGATAATTATGTTTTTGCACAGTATAGTATGCAACCAACAAATTCATACTATACCACTCCGGATAATAGTTACTCTTCATTTGTTGGAAAAAACAATACATTTGTACCACAAAAAACTCCCTCATATTCCAGGATTGAAAGCTCATCTTCACAACAAAATTCTTTTGCTAATCAAAGTCAGATCACAAGTGCAACATCTCAGAATATTGTTCACCCCTCCAATAGTGTTGTCAATTCGTTCTACCCTTCAAAACAACTCTTAAAAGAAGGTGAACAGTTACAACCAAATAGTAAACAACAAATTTCAATCACCAACTACAGTGATTCTTTAAACGCTTGTTGCCAGATCAATAACAAATCACAGAGGTCAGATCCTACTTCAGATATAAACAATTGTTTTCCATCAGTTGTCAATAGTCAAGAAGATGTTTCTAGCTCGGGGAACAAACCATCAATACTACTAGGCAGTAATAATCAAACAGAAAAGAGAGGGTTTAAAAGTTCTGAGACTGTTAGTAGCGAGAGTGACGAAAGCAATATTATTGTTGAGGAATCTGATGAAATTGGAGAGATAGAAAGCGAGGTAAGTGTTTTATAATAACTTTAAACCGTAATAAAAGATTAAGCCTAACATGGAAGCAGGACTATTTGTATAAGTCTGAATCATAAGAGTAGCCTACACCTCAGTCCCGCCAATCAGAAAGTCCAGCTAATTGATGCCACCTTATGCGGGGAATAATTTACTGTAGGCCTATTTAAATTCTAAACAGAGCTATACCTAACTTATGTTTTGAAATACGGTTTCTAGCTGATCGCGGATTGTAGGCCTATGTGAATGTTGATGATTGGGAAACAGTCTGAATTTTATATGGAACCAGCAGATTTTGAATGATTCCCAATAGACTAGAGCCGAGCACCCATTCATTTAACGTTATTTGGTTGGTTTTATTTTATGATCATTGTTTAGTAAGAATACTGGGATCTAACTATTGCTGCAATCTGGTAGATAATTACGGGGACATTAGGTATCTAATTAATTTAGGATATAATAGTAATAAGAAGATAACCACCCATCTCCTTGATTGCAAGAACATAACGTAGATGTGACTGCCAGAAACAATAACGGTGTTGTGATTGTGAGAGCAATATAGCCTATGGCCATTAACAGTCATAAAAATATGATCATTTGATTTGTGAATGCAACTTTTCTGCATGTCTGGCTAGTCAGAAAAAATTAGTATTCTAAACAGGGCCCAGTCCCAACTAGTTGGCATAAGAAAGACTCACATGGACTTCAGTTGTCCATTGCATATCCTTTCCAAGAATTGTTTAATATTGTCTAAAATCTATTAACTTTTTTAGGTATCAATCGAAGAAATCAAGAAGAGTTATGAATCCACCAACAATCAAGTACTTTTGAGATGTTTAATATGTAATGTTGGTACTTCTTCACAAACACCTGCTAATCAGTTCATCCACATGAATGAATCCTTTCCTTTAACATCATATAAAATTCCAGTAAGGACAAAATTAGAGCAAATCCTTTCAATGGACTTTCAACATTACTTAGAAAAACGCAACACTTTCATGTGTCGACGCTGCTTAAATCTCGTTGAAACTATTGAAGTCCTCGAAGTTAAACTGTCGACTGCTAAACAAACGCTTAATGACAACTTTTCAAAGACTATCCAACAATCAGTGCCAATTATTGATGATATTTTACACAATGAAGTTAGTTCTCAAGATGTGGACAAACTTTTAAAAAATAACAATATTCCCAACAAACGCCCAGAAGAAAAACCAAAAAATTCAGAAATTTATAGAGAACAGGAACCATTTTCGGTAAGTTTGTCAATCAGCTTATGTAAAACTTGTATCTATTGTTGTTGTATGTTGGGGTTGGCCCAGAACTGGCCATTCGATGAGCGGAAGTAGTAAACAGGTGGGAAATCCCTGGTCTGTTGGGGTTGGTCCAAAACCGGCTTTTCCCTTCTACTCCTCACTTAAATCATTTAATTACCGGTACTTTCCAGCCATTTTTAGCCACCCTGGAAGTATTTTATTGTCTCTTAACCATCCCCAGGCTATATGATATATGTTTCTTTGGTCAAATTTATTTTAATAATTTGATTCCTGTAATTGAGCAAGCCATATCCCAAGATTTACAGGTACCTTGTCAATCACCATGTATCTCACAGCTTTTAATTTGTCTAGTTTTTACATATATTTTCTTATTTTCAGGTAGAAAATGAATGCCCAAATGAAGATAAAGATCCTTCTATTAGCGATTTGGAACAGTCCGAATTTCAGTGCTCGTATTGTTTCAAGGTGTTATCATCACAGAAGTATTTAAACTACCACCTCCAGCAACATACCAAGGAGTTTTATTATTACTGTGAAAGATGCGGTAAAGGATTTCCTCTAAAGAGCAATCTACAGAGGCATCTCAACTGGCACAATAGTAATGAAAGGGAGGCAGACATTTTGTGTGATATCTGTGGTGATATGTTCGTCTCCAATGACTTGTTCAAATCACACTTACTTAAAACCCATTCTCAAGAGTACATATACAACTGTAAAATCTGCAAGAAAGGATTTACAAGAAAATTATCATTAGAGATTCACATTCATAAGCATACTGGTGCTCGTATGTTCATATGCGAGTATTGCGGCCACACTTTTTTGACCGAATCGAATCTGAGAAACCATGTAAAGCTTTGCAACAAAGATCATCAGCACACGTGTGAAGAATGCGGGAAAAGTTTTATTTCAGAGAGCCAGTTATCAAAGCACGAGTCCCAACATACAGGGATTTACAGTTATTCATGTTCCGTTTGCAACAAAGGCTTTCACAAACCTTCCGATCTCAATTTCCACATGCTGTCTCACTCAACCGATAAGAACTTCAAATGTAAAGAATGTAGCAAATCTTTTAAGACTCAAGGAAATTTAAATTACCATATTAAAACGGTTCACAATAAAGAGACAATTTTCAAATGTGAAATATGCGCTAAAAATTTCTTCCAAAAGAGGTTCCTATCGGACCATATGAAAACACACATCAATGAGGAACCCTACAAGTGTGACCGGTGTGAGAAGACGTTTCTTCACCAGACTACGTTTATCACACATTTGAAGGTGCATGAAGGCAAGGTGAAGATGAAGACGTGTGAAGTGTGTGGCAAGTCTATCAAGACAAGAATGAGTGTTCACATGAGAACTCACACTGGGGAGAAGCCGTACAAGTGCTCTTACTGTCCCATGGCATTCTCCGTAGGCATCTCACTCAAGAAACACATAGCTGTAAAACATGTCAAAAACAAGGTTTCTTAGCAATGTTTGGGGTTCGTTCGGTTTTTCTTTTTATATTTACTATTGCACTCCAGGCGGAAAAAACTTCTTGTCATGAAGACTTATACTGCAGGAAAAACTGGATGTTTGGAAGACATGATTTAAACTTGAGCTTGTGTCAACTAGAGTAACTTTAGACCCTCAAAATGTAAGGGCTGTTCAGGAAGTAAGGTTCGTTTTAGAATAAAATAAAAATTTTCTACGAGAAAAAATTACATTATTTAGGCCTACATTTGAAAGAGCAACTAAAATAGGCCTAGGTAATACTTTTCCACACATCCGCCAAACAAAATGAGGCAATTATCGAAGCGGTTACCAAGCTTTCGAATTCCTTTTCCTACTACTGCATGGAAATGATCACATTAGCAAACTTTTAAACAGGTTATTTCCTCCTTTATTCTTTCTCGCTCACGTTTGCTAACAAAAATTAACATGCCTGCTTCTGTATTTTAACACCCACATCTGGTAGGCACATAACATAACCTAAAAAAAGCAAAGATGGTCTACAGGCCATTTTATATATAACTAAAAAGTTTGTCTATGTGTAAGTTAATTATAGTGTTGGGAAAAATCTTGTGTGTATTAGGAGCACAGACCTGCATTGTTGATCTCAAAATAGCCGCATTCAGCTAAAGCTTCATGTCTACAGTTCTTGAGCGGCAATGACGTACTTTGCGTTCTTAATAGGCTACACAAATAGTGTATAAGTGTATGATAACAAAAACCGCATTACAGGCAGCACCTTACAACTAGCGTGGTTTTTAATTGCAGCACACTTTAATTTTGCAACATTGGGTAGCAAAATGAGGCTTCCGCGTGACGGCTGGACAGTTTTTGAGTAGGCTAATACGTTTGTACTAAAAAGTGTATGACAACCACGTGCCTTTCGGTGTCAGACGCAAATGTTCCTTACTTTCTGAACAGAACAGCTATATCGTACTATTACAGCTTAGTGGTCACACAGACACATAATAGCCCATCAGTTCCTATTGCCAAACTCTATGAATCAAATCAAAACGAAATACAAATAATGATGAATTTGGCATTTTAATTTAAGAGTAAGTTTTTACTGCATGTATAAGTATTATGCATTTAGTTTGATAATTTCTGTTGAACCAAGTGTCACATCGTACCTGAGCCATATCAAGAAATCCTCTATTTTAAGGTTGTCTCGATATTGGCATTTTTATTTTATAAATTATATTTTTTAAATCCTGGACTACTTTGTCATTTACCTTTTACCATGTGATAGTTCTTTTTCTATATTGTATACTTATTATATAATTTAAATACAAAAAAGTTGTTTATAGGCCTACTGTTCATCCAGATAAAAGTTAGTATATATTTACTCTTTTATTGTTGGGAAGAATTCGATATGCTGAGGTAAGATAGTGTATATACGTTGTTTTGGAGCAAACATACTAAAAAATCAAATGTTAATTGTGACAGAGAAAATAATGATTATTGATTAGGTATACAATCTTCCCCATCAAAGGTACAATGTAAATAGTTTGAGTTTCATGAAAAAGTCCTATTTTAACAGAGTAAAAGGAAAAAGTAAATATCATGAGGAAAATGAAAGTTTTATTTACAAAACAAATTAATGTATAAAAGATATAATTTCCAGGTGGTACCATTCTTGTGTTGGCTCTCCCATTGTTCTAAAAAAAATAAAGGTAAATTAAACGAGATTATAAGTCATTTCCTATTTGATGCTTTTATGTTGACGACAAAGTCTGCAAACATGTAAGAACATAAAATTATTGATTTAAATATTCGTGCAACGTTTAAGTCTACAGTAAAAATCGTCAGTTGTAGGATAGTGTTGTGAAGAGAACTCAGAAAAAGATTGTCTAAAATTGGCTAGCAAGGAATTCAAAAAATAGAACTCAGCTAGCCTACCTGAGAAAATTAAAGAGTCCAGAGGCTAACAGATACACAATAAAAGAACACAAAACATAACACTGATTTATTGTTTGGTTTGGATGCAGGACTTGAATCTTCAGAGAGTATCTTGATGAGAAATGTCAGATTAAGTTCAAAATGGAGTGATCTTCAGAGTTGACATTAATGTGGCCACCAAAAAAACTTGACACTAAGATAACATCTATAACAATCTTATTATTTTTTTTAACATCTTAGAGCCACACTCATTGACTTCTTTAAAAAATTCCTCGTTTACCTTGTACTCTTGTATACACAGACAATACATGCTATGGAGCACGTATGTTATCACTCAGTCTGTATCCATCTCCTCATCTTCTTCACTGTCATCGTCGTCGTCGCTGCAACTCTCCTCCGACTCTGAAGATGAGGCGAGCCACTCTTGAGAAGCAACGTCACATGTAACTAGTGTCCTCCACTCATCTAGCTTGTGCAGATCTGAGGGGAAGATATACAATTTTACAGATAGATTTATACATTTGTTTGATTGACAGGTCGTATAACTAAGTAACCCATATTCAAGATTCAAAATTCAAGATCTTTATTTGTCATTAAGCAATACAAGTATTACAATAGACATCGTCAAAGTTTTTTTTTTCTTTTTTTTTCTAATAATACATACAGTTAATTTCCTGTTAGAGTAGGCCTAACAGCAAGAATGCACCAAGTGAGTAGCAATCACTCTTTAAAAAATAACAGTTAAACATAATTAACTCTAAAATAAATAAATTAACAATTTACATGTCAATGATCAAAAATAAAATCTGTAAATATAATAACAATAAAATCTTTAAATATAATAACAATTAAATATATTAATATTAACATTGATGTTCTAAAAACATAGGGAACTAATATCACAGGCCAGATAATCGTCTATGGAATAAAAAACATTTTCCTTAAGCCATTGTTTTATAATAGAAACAAATTGTTTAAAGGGTACAATCCATGCCTTTTTTGGCAATTTATTGAATAGTTGTATCTTCATACATATGTGGCTGCTCTTTGTTTTTTCCAATCTTACAAAAGCTAAATCTAATTGATAGTTATTCCTAGTATAGTACTGATGAGTTTCGTTTCTAGTTGTAAAATTTTTCAAAGACTCCTTAACATCTATTAGAGAACAGTAAATATATAGATTAGGCAAAGTCATTATTTGTAATTCTTTGAATATTGGTTTACAAGACTGTCTTTGTGGTTTATTCTTGATTGCTCTCAGTGCCTTTTTTTGCCATCCAAGAGCAGTCTGTGCACTGCAAGAGTTGCCCCATAAGGTTATACCATATCGTAGATGGGAATGAAAAAAAGCATAGTATGCAGTAATCAGCATATCTGCAGTAACACAGTGTCTTAGTTTTCTGAGAAGACAAACCACTCTGGCCAGTTTCTTACACAATTGCTCTAAGTGACTATCCCAACTTAATCTGCTGTCTAAATATATGCCTAGCAACTTCACAGATTTAATATCCTTATAAATAGAGTAGTTAAGAGTAAAAATTATATTTTCAGTTTTCTGGTTATTTACAATTAAATGATTGGATTGGAACCATTCTTGTGCAACTTGTAAAGCCTGACCCTCAATTTTTTTAAGTTCCTTTACATCTTTATGGCTGTTTAGGAGTGTTGTATCATCTGCATAAAGAACAGAGGTACAAGGAATATTGAAAGAGAAATCATTAACTGCAATGATAAATAGTAGTGGCCCAAGCACTGACCCCTGGGGTACACCATTTTCAATTTTCTTAAAGCTAGATTTGTCTTTGCCCTGGATTACCATTTGCTCTCTGTCACTTAAATAAGAAGCTAACAAATTCAACTCTTGGTCCCTTATACCATAGCTGTACAGTTTCTTAATAAGAAGCTCATGTTGCATACAGTCAAAAGCTTTTGTTAAATCAATTAGTACTGCGGACGAAAGAAGTTTATTTTCAAAGTTCATTAAAAGTTTACTGACAATACTTTCTACTGATTTGCATGTACTTCTACCTTGCATAAAACCAAACTGTTCATCACAAAATAGATCATTATTGATAAAATATGTATTGAGCTGTGCTTTAATGCAGGTTTCAAAGATCTTACTTAGTATGGGTACAAGAGAGATTGGCCGGTAACTGGATGGGTTTTGTTTCTCACCTTTTTTATAAATTGGCATTACTTTACAAAGTTTAAGTTTTTTAGGGTATATACCCTGATCCATCATTTTATTGAAGAGAAATGTTAATGGCTCTACTATTTCATTAATAATTTCTTTGATAACCCTATTAGAAAAACCATAATAATCTTCACTTCGTGAGGAACTTAAGCTAGTTACACACCTTATTACATCAACAGTATTGATTTTTTGCCACTTGAAAAACTCATTGCCTAAGTTTCTATTTGAGACAAAATTATTAACTAATTCTACTGCACGACTACTAGACATATCACTAACATTGCATTTATTTAATTCATTGACTACATTAACAAAATAAGCATTTAAAGTATTTGAGTCTAAAACTACATCTTGGTTATTTTTTCTGCAATTTGATTCAGCTTTTATCAAACTCCATGCTGCCTTACATTTGTTTGAAGAATTTTCAATATACCTATCATTTGCAATTTTCTTAAAATAACTAATCCTTTTTTTATACATTTTCTTTAATTTCAAATAATCTAGTTTATGGACTCCTTCGTTTGTTGTACCCATAGAACTTCTATACCTGTCATAAAAAGTTGTGACATATATCTTAAACCTCTGTAACTCTGGTGTATACCACTTCAACTTGGGCTTGCCATGATTGTTTATTTTAACTTCCTTAAACCTACAGCTTTCATTTAAAGAATTTGTCAATAATAAATTAAAATGGTTAAACGCTTCATCTACATTGTTAAACTGTGCTAATTGCATCCAATTAATTTGTGACAGTTCATTCCTTAAGTTAGAGAGTGCTCTAGGAGTTGTATCCCTTATTGTTTTAGTTGTGATATTATTGGACTTTGTCCTGTTGACATTCATTTCATTAAATTTTGCAAACACTCCTGCATGATCTGATAAGTGTGGTTCAATTACAGAACAATTTACTTTCTTTCTATCAATGTTGGTTATTATATTATCTAAACACTTATCATCCCTAGTTGGATTTTCATTTAACCAGTAAATGTTATGGGATCGTAATACATTTTGGAAGAAATCTCTTTCTTTTGATTTGATTAATATATTAATGTTAAAATCTGCAGTTATAATATATCTTGAACCAACATATTTTGTATTTAAGTGTAATAAAAAAGTGTCTAGTATTTTAAGAAACTGGTTGATATTTGAATCTGGAGTTCTGTACAAGGTGGATATAATGACATTAATTCCTGGCAAATTAATTGCAGTTACCTCAAAAATATTGTCCTGGTAAAACTGTGTTACATCTAACGCTTGAGCCTCAATGCCTCTCTTATAATATATAGCACTTCCACCACCTCTTGTATGAGAATTATTTCTACCACAAATACTACCTAAGTTATACCCGTAAGGAATGTAAAAAGCAAATTCTTCTTCGAACATCCAATGTTCATTAATAGTTAAAATATCACAGTTAAGATTTGTCAAAAAGGCATCAATTAAGTTTAACTTATTTCTAATAGATTGAACATTACAATGATAAATACTAAGACATTCATTAGATAGACCTAGGGTACGTTGCCTTGCGTTGGTGGAGAGACGTTTCCCGATTGAGACTCAGTGCCTGGTGGGGGAGGTTGTTCATCGTGTGTAGGCCTACTCACTGGACGGTCGTACTCCTTAGCAGCAACCGCCTCAGCTATCCTATCCGCAAGCCATTTCTTTCCCTTGTTGTTGAGATGGAGACCTTGGCGTGTATGCAAATGTCTTTCCGCTTTGCTAGCTTCCACAAAAAATACATTGTTGTGTTTTTGACAAAGTTCTTTGAGCCGTAGGTTGGTTTTTCGTAATTCATTATTCACGCATGACCAATTTGGCAAGTCATATCTCATTGGCAAATCCACAATACACACAGTTTGTTGTTTCCATTTGTCCA